AATGATGGGTTGCAATTATAATTATTTACTTCTTTACTCGATAAGAATACAAGCTGTTATATAAGAACAATGAAATGAGTTATAATAAGTTGAATTTGTTCGACCGTTTCCACTGGTAGAAGAAATGTGTTATTAAAAAATTTGAGTTGTGCTGTGTAGTCCGTTTTAGTTAATTTGAAAAGAGTGGTAAAGAATATGAATAGTGCGCTTATAGTCTATTTTCACAAAAATTATTTCATAATTTGTGGTACTTGTCTGAAGATGCCAATTAGGATGTGATTATTGGCATTCTTTTCGGAATTTCCGTTGTTTTTATTGAAATAGCCTCAGTAATTTGAGAAGATTATGTTCAAAACCAAGTTATACTCTTTAGCTCTTTTAGCTCATTTCATTTACTCGTTTCTTTTCCTGAGAGGTTTTTTCCTAACTTCTTAACAATTACTTCATAATTCGTTTTTCAAATTTTATGGATGTTTTATGGATATAGGTAAACGATACTCTAACAAGAGGGATTTAAATTTTGCTGCATTTGCCCAAAATAAATCGTCATATCAATCAAAGCGCCATAAAATATGAAATTTCATTAATATGTTATAAATGAAGTATGAAGAAATAATCTGATTTATGATAAACTTATTGGAAAATTCTGGAAAAATAAGTATGAATTTCTGATCGGAATGTACTTCAGTTGAATCATTTTCTATTGTTAATCATTAATTTTGGATAACATCTGTAATTCTAAGATTTCTTATCTGGTTTCCAGTTATTTGTACCTTTTCTTACAAGGAGCAGTGTTTGAACTGTACTTCCTATTTATAACTCGTTGCAATCATTCGCATATAAGGTGATTCCCATTCCTGCCAAATGCTGAAGTGCCATGTATCATTGTTGCATCCTTGTGGATTTTTATAAATATGTAAAGTTGTGGGTTTGAAGACATTGGAGACAAAAAAATTTTGTTCTAAAAATATTTTCGAGTTCTTGTTCTAAAAAAGCCATGGATCATAGTAGCATATTGCAAATGTCATTATTGGACAGGCTTTTCCACTGCTTTTCTCTTTGTTCCTTTGCACCAGTTCATTCTCATGTTTTTAGCCCATATCATTTCTTCATATCTTAATCACATTTTTCAAAGTATTCTCTTAAGTTGATCGGTCCTTCTCACTTTTGATGCCACATATTACTTGACAAGTAACGAGCGTTAATTCTTTTGGTGGATGATGAAGAACATGGTCTAACCAGCCGGCCACTCTTTATGACGATGATTAGTGCAGATGGTATTCATGTGAAGAAGATGGGCATATGAGACGACTATGTTCGCCTTGCGATTAAATAGGATATATTTTTCAGGCAAATTTGGCCATAGATAATATAGTTTTCCGATAATATAGTTCTCCCATTATTTCTGACAAGCGCGTAGCGAGATTTGCACGCACTACACCCAGGTAGATTTCAAAATTTTGAGGCCGATTCCAAAAATGCGTTGGAGGAAAGCGCTAGTTGTAGCTATTTGAAGTGGGGTGATACTTTTCGCCTGCTTATTATTATGTATGAAAATAAAAATATTTAAAACTTCTTATTGATGATTTTATGGAATGTTTAAATGATGTGGATTTATTTCTTGGAGTAATTTAGCTTTTAACTAATGTCGAAATGTGTGGATGAAATTATAAGCAATATTGACCACTGTGATTCAGACAACTCTTTCAAGTAATTCTCTTGGTAGAAGAACATATTTTAGGTTTCACAATAAAAATTTTATTACAATATTAGCATGTCACCATCGAATCCATACTGTTGAATGTTTTTCTGATTCTCTTGTGAATTCACGGAACTTTGTTTATTACGTAACTGAATCAATTTTTCAATTATTTGACTACTTTTCTGTCTTGAATAGATAGCGCGAAATAATCTTCAACGAGTTTCTCGGCGAGATTCTGTCATCCTTAGAAGTTGCTCCAGTCACAAGCTTTCGGATATTCGGCAATTAAAGGATCGTCTTTATGAGGCTCTTATTAAGACGAAATCTCAGTAATATATAAAATTGATCTATTCAGTTATTCAAATCGAGAAGTGGAATAACGTCAAGATAATGCGTCAGTCGCTATTTTTTAAGAAATATATCATTCTATCATTCTATCAATGTACCTTCTACATCCATTAATAATTTTTGAAATCTTAAAAACAATTTTGAAATAATTTTGAAATCAAAAATATTTCAGGACCAACAGCCATCCAGGCTCCTAAATTTTCCCTATGAATGGATTTTGCATAAATTGGTAGAATTTTTGAATTTACAAATGAAATCCAATCTTCATTTTACAAAATTTTTCAAAGTTTTATTTGATATAAAACTTCGCAGATCATTTTGAAACATTTTAATATATTGCATTTTATGAACAATTGGATTAATTTGTTAAGCACAATTATCTGTTATTTCGAGCTCCTCAAATCCATTGTTTTTTAAAGATTTCTCATTAACTTGGAAAATGAAACTATTTAAAAACTATGGTGACATTCTCTTATTGCTTACCTGGAGTTTAAGTTTGATCAGCGATAATTCAAAAGTGCATTTTTTATTATCGAAACAATGGCGTGGAATGTGAGGTATATAATAAGCATATTAAGCAGCAAAATTATTCTCTAAGAAAAAGGTGAACAACACAGACGTTTCGAAAATCGCAAATATGTCAATTTTGAATGATGCGACTGTTTCATTCCTTTTAACCATTTAATGCTTTTTATTATTAACTGTCATCTTTGCATCAACAAATTTGTGCATTTTTATTATAACGTCTAAAAATTTAATAAAATCTAAAAAAGCTTTTGTTTTCATCAGTCTAGGAAAAGTTTAACTGCCCTGTGGCAAAAGACTGCACATCTTCACACCACTCAACGTCATTAGGTGGCAAAAGGGGGACGACTGCGTGATACTTTTTTCTGTCACAACCAGCGAAAGTTTGATTGGCTTCGTAAGCGAAAAAATTTTTTGTAGGTTTCTCAATATGATTACTGAATCTAATTTCGGTACAGTGAATTACATGAAAACAAAATCCGAAACCAATTGGATATTTGGAGAAGGCGACATCACCGGCTACATTAAACGAATTCCCAGCCAACGAAACAAAATCTCGCTTATTCTCAACAATCCGAGGATTGGAACCAAAAATCCTACTTCGAAAATATATTTCAAAATAATTGTTCATTTAATGAGGCAATTTTTACATGTAATTTTTTACATGATGTGCAATTTTCATGTGCCATTGTTTCGATAATAAAAAATGCACTTTTGAATTATCGCTGATCAAACTTAAACTCCAGGTAAGCAATAAGAGAATGTCACCATAGTTTTTAAATAGTTTCATTTTCCAAGTTAATGAGAAATCTTTAAAAAACAATGGATTTGAGGAGCTCGAAATAACAGATAATTGTGCTTAACAAATTAATCCAATTGTTCATAAAATGCAATATATTAAAATGTTTCAAAATGAAGTTTTATATCAAATAAACAATTTTTTTTTTTACAGTTTTTTATAACAAGGATTTTAAATGAAGTTTTTCTCGAGAACTTGTTTTTCTTCTGAAAATATTTTTACCTATTTGCTAAAAAATTAAATTTTGAATGGGAAGCGAGAAGACTAGGTGGACCAGGGGACAAGAAAGGTTATAAAGGTTATCATTAAATTGAATGACATTTCCGATGGAATTTTAGAGCCAGAAGATACAAACAATAGATGGCTACTTCTTATTGATGCAGCCAAGTGAAAAGGGCATTATTTTCTATAAAACATATTTATATTTCTATTATAAGCAATATTTTAACTATAGCACGTGACTGCCTAGAAAAAAAACATCACGCCTGAAATTGAAAATACCAGTTTTGAAATCTTTTAATATATGCCCCAAAACCTCTTTTGCGAGAAAATTCCCGGAACTATGTGAAATATTTTAACCTCCAAAATTTCGTTATTCTATCTTTTCTTTAAACCGTTTGTATTATATTATGCCCATTTCAGTCCTCAAATCTAGCTGCATTCTCTCTCATCAATCCACATATCCCTTTAACTTCTGTGGATTTTCACCGCAGAAAATTATAGAATTATACGTTATGCGACATTACTGCTACTTGCGGCATAGATTCAAGTATAAGTTTAAGTATAAGAATTAAAAACGCCAGAAAAAATAGTGACTATCATTATGAAACATTTTTTATCGCGAAGAGGAGAAACACTGACTTGAAGGTGGTTTTGCACAACCACAGGATAGATCTTCTTGGGGAGGAAATTTCTATTAATAATCTTAATAATTACTGTTTTATATTTGTATCTATATTTATAATTACTGTGCTTGGTGGTGTTAATAAAAATTATAAAATCTTTTTAACGGTGCTACTGAATTGTAAATTTTTATTTATATGAGGCATTAAATAAAACACCAATCAATTTCTAGATTTAAATTTTAAACATCAGACATTATATATATTTGGATTGCATTGACTGAAAATAAATGATAAATATTAATAGGATCTGCGATCAAAATACTTGGCGAAAATGAGAAACACTATTTGTGAGGTTAAAAAAAAATTTCGGAAAATCTGAATGAACAAGTTTAAAATTTGAAAATTTTCTGCATTTACGTACTTTTATGAATTCGATGATCAACAGTTTTTTATTACGTATAAATTTAAAATGTGATAAATTTATAAAAGAATGAAAGTATGAAAATAATACATCGGAATTACTTACTTAATTCAATCCAATTTTCATTCTAAAAAATTAATCTTTAAACAAAAATATAACACAGAAAATTCAAGAATCATAAATTAGAAAGATTCTTAATTAGAATTAAATTAGAAAGATTAGAAAGAAAGATTTTTTCATCATTACCGATCACTACAGAAACACCAAAAATGATTGTTTCCCAGAATATCAAAGACAAAGACAAAAAATAAAATATAATTAACAGTTAATACCGTTTGGAATTTAACATCTGTATTTAAATTAAGAATCAGTTTTTTCAACAAAATCATATCTGAAACGCTCGTGTGAACTGACGGGCGGTAAACTACCATGAATAATCGACTGGAAATATTTAACGAATTATGATAAAATAATGAAATAATGAATTATTTATTGAATTTTCCAGGAAAATAGTTCAAGACAACTACCTGTATGATCCACTCAGAAGATACAATCTCGGCTTTATATCTACAAGCTGCCTCCAATATCATCTCCGTGCAAGTTGGATCCGTTAACAGGATATCAATCGGTTCTAATAAGCGTCATTTTTAGTGATAGTAAAATAATTAATTCATTAATTCATTAATAAAAGATAAATTAAAGAAATTATGCGGTTATTGATTCGAAAAATATACCAGCAAAAATATCAGGAACAATAGTAGCACCCATCTGTGCTATAAGAGGTGACCAAATTTTTGTGAAATTTGGCATAGCCGGATCGCCAAACGAACTCTCCGAAAAAATATATACTTTTTTCCCTTTCAACAAGGTCATATTTCGAGAATGCCTTAAAACAGTCGAAAAATTTTAAAAAAATGAAATGAGACTCTCGGCAATTTAAAGCAATTACAATGAAAGAACATACCAAGGAGTAGTTTCACTGGTCAACAATGACAAACCAGCAGGTAGCATATATGGTGAATAATCCACGAGTTTATTCTAAAAAATTAGAATCAAATGGGATAATAAGTTCAGCTAGTCCCTAGCGTAAAAAATTTCGTCGCATTAAATCTTACTTTTTCAACACATTCAGACACCCATAGATGACTTATACATGGAACTGCTCGAGCAAGTGCCGACAAGTACTTGTGAGTGCGGTAATAAGTGTCCGCAATAAGTAACATTTTTTTATTGGGAGAAATTTTCTGAAAAATAAGGAAAAAATCAAGAAGAAAATTATAATATATATCAACATAATATATATCATCGCGATATATATCAACAATATATCAACAAATTTTACGGAAAAATCGTCCACCACAACTCCTCCACGAGCTTCAATTAACTGCCGTACTTCTCTTTTACTAAAACCTTGGTCATCATCTTTATTCTTTCGCATTGCTGAGGTAACCACAAAAAAGATACCATCAAATATATGGTCTCTGGCTAAAATAATATCTTTTAACCTATTATTAAATCAAGAGGTGCAATTAATTAATTAAAACAAAAACATCAAAGTGATGGATGAAATATCCTTTTTCCATTAATAAATACCTTCGGTATGATGTTGATCAGACTGACATGACTGTTGAATTTCCATATACTGGCGAGTTGAACGTTGCTTTGGTGACGGTTCCCTGGTAATCTCCACGAATTCATTTTTACGTATTTCTTTTTTCATTGGCCTTTTAGCTTCACCTAGAATATTCTTTACACCGTTATTCTAATACATATTTTAATATGTATTAGAATAACGATAAGAGATATAACCAAATATTTTAATATAAAGTTACTTGCTGATTTTTTTGCATTAACAAAGGGAGAAGCCTCATGCCAATTAGAAGAATGGCGAGTCGAGCGACTTCGTCGACCTTCCGTTGAATCAATATTATCTAAAAAAATGTTTAAAAAGTTTTTTATGCCCTCAGCAAGAAAATGTGAAGTTGAATAACCTGCAATAACTTCTCTGGTGGTATTAACAAACAATTTTTGCACTCCTTTTGCTTGCGCTGCATCCAAAATAAGTTTCTGCCAAGGAACGCTGCAAATAACTTTATTTTCCCTACCTGGAATTTATAGCATCAATGCTAATAGAAACAAATAACTGACAATTGCTACCTTTGCCTTTTATTATTTTCGTCACTTTTTACAACGAACATAGCTTTGGTCCAGAGCTCAATATCATTACTCGGAGGACTTTCAACTATTTCAACTTCCTCAAGTATTTCATCACCATCTTTGCAGACCGTGGTCAAACACTAAAAAAATATTTCAAAAAAATATAGTGAAAAAATATAGTGATGAGCAAAAAAAAGAAGTGGAAAACATGAAATATAAAAAAAATTCCAAATGCAACCTTTTTACCACTGACAAGATTGCATAGTGAGATGATACCCGTCGACACAAGTCTACGCACTTCATTATCTTCTACAAACAAAACTTCATATCTTCCACTTGAATCACGTTCTCTATAATATATTTCAAATAATTTACTATAATAAATTTTTTTTTATTTATATTGTAATTTTTTCTACTGTTAGTAAAAATTCATCAAGCAAATCGAAAATGATTTTCATACCAATTCTAATATTAGTAAAATTTGTATTGATTTTCAAGGCTTTTACAAGCGTATTTTTGTCAAAACTTCGAAAATTAAAAAAAAAAAACTGACGCAGAAACACGAGCTGGATAATACATTCTATCCCATAATGCATAAACGCGAGCTCCTATCCGAAAAGGAACATGTTCATTTAATGGATGATCAACAGAAAATTGTTCTTCAGCAGTTAACTCAGGAATGTTAGGTTTACTACCATAAGCAAATGTTGTTTGAGAAATCCTAAACATCAAAAAGTTAAAAACGAAATAGTGGAAAAAATTTTGAAAAATTCAAAATTTCAGAATTAAAATACTTAATATATTAATTATCAATGAGAAAAATTTACGATTTACGCTTTTTATTTTGTGCCTCATATTGTTCAACAACATGGGACCGAGAATGCGACCGCTTTATGGCTTTTCTCTAAAAAAATTCTGTTATTTTATGAAGAGCGAAAAAAATCCCACTTCTATTAATGATTGCTAAAAAAGAAACTCGCGAATCAAACGGACGGAAACAAATTTCGAAAAGAGTTATTTCGATAACATAGTTGATGAAATAAAAATTATATATCATAAATAAAATTATAATTATACATCATATATCGAAAACCAAAATTTGAAAAATTTTCTCTAAATAAATTAATATATTAATTAATTAATATAATTAAATTAGTACAAATACCGGTATTATTTCCATATCTCCTTCTTCTTCACCACCTACTGATTTTATTTCTTCATCTGTATCGATTGCATGTATATCTCCTGTGCCAACAAACAAAACATCGCCAGAATCTATCGACCTAATGATTATTATTAATATAATTATTATGATTATTATTATTATTTTGTCGCCAATTCTTATAAACAGAGCTCCTAATTCTTATAAAAAGATAAACAATTAAAACAACATAAATAAAGCAAAAAACCTATTATAATCTAACAATGTGGATAATTTAACTGACTTCTTTCTTGATTTTGACACTGTGATTTCCTGCCGCAACGATGGAGTACTCGTAAATAATTCTGTCAATGATCTGCGATACACAGCCTAAATTGATAATCATTTCTATTTTTTTCATTTTATATCAACGAATATTTTAAGCAATTTGAAATTAAATTCACATAATTCATTGAAATAAAATCATTCTAAACCGCATTATTTTGTAACAGTTTCTATATTAATTTATAATTCTAGCCATCATAGTCAAAACTGAAAGATGTTTTATGAGAAAAAAATATGAAAATACTTTAGACTGAGGAATCAACGATGTGAGATTTGATCTTCTTTCACTAGCCGTTTGTTCTGTTTTCTCATATTTATTTCTGTAAGATAAATAACTCCAAATAATTGGGACAATATTTCAACAAAAAATTATGATTTTGAAAAAACAAACTCACGCGCTACCAGAAGGTGTCTTTGTAAATTTACATGTTCCAAATGATCGCCGTTCCATCTAAAATTTAGATTAAGAATGCAAAAATAAAATATCTTTAAAATAGTACCATATGTAAAGAAAGCTACGTCAAATAAATTGAAAGATAATTTATTAACCTTATTTATTTATTTATGAAACTATAACATAAATGAACAAACTATAAAATTTAATAAACACTATACAATCACTATATGAAGAATTCTTTCAATCATTTTAATTTGAAAAAAAGAAAAGATTATTTCTCCATAATACTTTTTCTTTAATCATTTAATTTTTACTTTACTTTAAGCATTCTGAAAATTTCTAACAAAACCAGAATTTCTGAAAAAAATTTAAAACTTAATGCAGAAAAATCAGTGACCTGAATGTGCCGAAGCGGTTCCGGATGATTATTAAAATTGCTCTCAAACGAGAAAGGATCCTTTTCCGAATCGTTAGTTCGATTTACTTTCAAGCCTTTCAGTTCTTTTTTGTTCTGTGACTTGCCTGGTGTAATGATGCTTTTGTCTACGGATGCTGAAAATCTATATACATATATATAGATATTTCGGAGCTCCCAGTACCTTGTATATTTCTCTCCTATGCCTCTGTGCCTCTTCAATCTCCTACGCTAGGAACAGGGAGATATCAATCATTAAAAAAGTTGTTCATTTTATTTATTCCTTTAAACGAATGAAGAGTTGAAAAAGATCGATAAAATGAAATAAAACGAAAAAACTGGAAGATATTAGAAGAAAAAAAGGGAACACAGTGGTACAAAAAAATGATGTGTATCCGAATTGTTTTCTAAATCGATTTTGTTCCCTTATCGTTTCTAACAAATAAGCTTTTGGCCTTACTTGGTTCGATGTTAAATAAAATAAAAACCAGAATAGCGAATACAAATAATAACAATTCTGCCAATGATCGGCCAGTGACAATCAATACAAAATAATTCGTAATATTTGTCGTGTTTAAGGAATAAAACTCATCTTATCCAAAATCTGTTCTTAATTAAAACTCCGTCCACATTTATATTTATTATAAATAGCCATATCCTTTAATAGGTTCCTCGGAATATGTCACACCTTCTCTTCAAACCTCCTGATGCATCTTATTGTGCATTATAATCGCTCATTTTCTCAAATTATCTTAGCAAATTATGTTAAAAATATAAATATATTTATATTTTTGCCATAATCACAAATTGGCAAAGGCAACATGAAGAAATCTGAGATACTTCGTTTATCAAACCTTTTTGACAAATCTTATTAAAAACAGAACTTTTTTTCTCTTTTTTCCCCAAAACGTTTTTTCCACATTTTCATCGTCTCAGATTTTAACACAGTTCTCTGACAGCTCTCTAAACCTACCGCCAAAGTTCAAACCACAATTTGGCCACCCTAGGAACACCCTACTTTATACCACAGCCAAAATCTAATCATCCCTTAACCTAGTAAAGTTCGCTCTATGGCGCCCTAAATTTTATTAATTTTTTTTTATTATTAATTTTTATTTTATTTAATTTTATTTTATTATTAATTTTTATTCATAGCGCTAGGTAGATGCAAAAACAGAATTCGGAGTATGGGGCATAAACAGCCTTTAGGAAGAAATACTGGCATTTCAGAATTATTTTGTCTATCCATAGAATGAGTTATTATTATCACGAAGTAACTGTAAATTGATCGCATTCTCAAGTACATTGAAGAAGAAATATAAAGTGTAAAGGAATTAGAAATTAAGAATAACCAAGCACAAAGAAAGTCGAGATTTTACAGCCTGCGATTGCCGTATTCTTATATATACTATCTGGATTGTTCTGGTGACATACCTATATTTCTGTAGTGACAACCTAGCAAAAATTTCTCTTCTAAAGCATAGCCAAGCGGAGCTAGTCTAACCAGAAATGGTGAATGCAATTTCACTTGCTTTAATTTAATTAACAAAGCTAAACATAGCATTGAGCAATGAACTAATCGTACATTTTTTCGCCAATGTTTCCGAGAATTTTTCTGTCGATGAGAGTTGTTCTCGCTTCTCACTTATCTTTTTCGAAGATCTCGTCCCTCTACCTTCTGTTTCTTTTTCTTTTGAAATACGATTCTTTGTAGCTGATGATGTTGGTGTTATCTGAAATGAATTACTTTAAAATCAATAATAAAACAATAAGTAAACATCTAAATTAAATGAAAATATTCAAGAATAAAAGTGAAAAAACAAAAATAGTCCTGAACAAAGACAAAAACACCTTGGAATCTCTCGTCACACTTCTCAATATTCTAGATGTAGTAAGACTCTCTTTAGAAATCTTTGTCTTAATGGATTTTTGAGGTGTTTTCAGATTTATTGATTCTGCACAATAGGAGCTGAAAGAAGAAAAGTGAAATATCAATTCCATTAATTAAAAAGTGCATATCTTCTTGATACAATAAATGGCTAAAAAAAGCGGAGGAAATAACACATTCAAATTCAACAGCAAAAAATTTTCATGGGGAAATATTGGTGTAGGAGCTTTACGAATTATAGGAGTTGTATGAGCTTTGGTGTCCAAATAAGAAAATACCAACGTTATTCGAGGTGTTCGAAGACTTCTACGACGTTCAGCTGCAAGGTCTTCCATCAGAAATTCCATTTGGTTGTCGTGAGCTTTTATAGCATCATTTTCTTCAAGGGATGCCTTGCTTTGATTTTTTCTTGCGCTTCTTGTCTACAACCCTTATGACAATTTGTGCAAAACTTTTAATGAACAAAAAATAGAAGGCAGTAAATTAAAAAATTACAGAGAAAATTAGATATGTTTAATGATATTAAAAAATACCTAAATACAAATATAATAAGAGGTATAAGAAGGTAAAATAAATTTATTGAAAAAATTAAACCAACTAAAATTTAAATTTTTTGTCGTGCAAATCATTTAAATTTAAATGATTTAAATATATTAAATATGTAATAAAAATCAACAGTTCCATAATAAAAAGTGGATAAGTGGATAATATATTTCGTTATACAATTTCCTAATTCTAAAAAGAAAAAAATACTTTAACATTAGATGATCCTATATCTTCGCTCTTTTCTATTTTTATAATAGAACCCTTAACTTTTTCATCTGTTTCCATATTTTTTTTGATTTCTTCATCTTCTAATGTATGTTCTTTTACCTCATTTTCCAATTCCTACAAGATAAAATTTAAATTTGATTTAATTCAGGAAACGTAATTTTTATTTTTTAAAATAAATAAAAACTATTTTTTACTTACAATTTTCTTGCGATTATATTCCTTATTTTCTGGTGGCTGTAGTGATCGCTGTATCTGAATCAAAAATATTTTGAATATTTTAGTCCAAATAAAAAGAAATAAGCGTAACAAAGAAAATCTACAGGATAGTTTGTGAATAAACTAACTTTTACCTCTGATTTTTCATCTTCATTCTTTCCATCGTTCTTTCCAAATATAACACTGAAAACAGTAATATTAAAAATAAACTTGGTTTTAAACCGTAAAGAAAATATCAATAAATTGGTAATTCAATAAAAATATCAAAAGCATAACAAACCAAAAAATAAATGATTTAGACAAAAAGATAAACAATTAGATATATCGAATAAGAAAATATTAACTTTTGACGAAGGTATAAAATAAAACAATAATAAATATATAAAAAATATCGAAAAAATGCCAACTTTTTGGTGATCGTTTCATGTTCGTTTTCATTTTTACATTCATTAAAACTTATATTAATATCATAATTTATTTCTTGATCCTTATCAAGTTCTGGCAATATATCATCTCTGGTACCACCTTTTTTACCATATTCATCATTTGTTTCCATAGATTCTTCTTTCACAGTTGTGACCACACACTCAACATCCATTTTCGATGTTCCAATTTCACCTTCAGATTCCTCCTTTTTACCAATCGGTGATATATTGCGCTCTCGATTATCCAATAACTTTTTATTAATTTTATCCGAATTTTCTTCCTTATTTTCCATCAATTTTGTATCGATTTCAGGATCAATCGCTTCATTTGCTAACAATCCTGGATAATCTTCTTTCTCTAGTTTTTGAGATGCGTCTGATTTATCAGAAGAACTCGGTTTTATTTGCTCTTGTTCGACTGATCCATCACCAACAACACTTTTTCCCTCAATCTTAAAATACAGTGCAACAAAATATTATTTAAAATAAATTATCAACCGGAACCATTTAAAAGCATTACCTCGAGTCTTTATTGTAACAAATAAATATATGAACATTAAATCAAAAATGATTAAATGAATAAAGAGCAAACGCAGTGGATTAAATTAATTTAAATTAATGAATTCATACCAGTTCCAGTATAGCATCGTCATGCTTTTGATGCTGAACAGATTCAACTACGTCAATATCTGTCTTATCTTTTGCAACTTTTCTAGTCAAATCACTTTTTCTTTCTAGAGAATCTTCTAAATGAAACTTAGCTGCATCTCTCTGTTTAGTTTGCAAATCTTCATCTAAAATTTAACATAAAATGAACGGTATAAAAACGGTAGAAATCTATAAATGAATGCTAAATAAGATAAAAGCTCACCAATAAAAATGAAAAGATATAATCAAAAAACCTTTTTCTTCTTCACATCTGCTGCTGTTTGTGATCGAATCAGTATTTAAGCACTCTAAGTTCGATTCATCCTATTTAATTAATATATGATTCATATATATATACATTTCTGAATAAAAATTTTATATTACGAATATATTACTTCCAAAATAATTGCTGAATTCCAATAACTCAATTTTCTGCAACAAAGCATTTTATTGCATTTACCTGAAGATATGATGCACTCTTTCCGAAAAGGCCTTTACGCAATCCGAGAAGTGGATCAGATGATGACAAACTGATATCAACAGATCTAAAAATATAGGAAATGTAAAAATGAAAAGTATAATTGGCAGACAATTAAATCAGCCCAAAATATCCTAAGCCAATGATATTAAGAGTGAACCGAAATTTTCTGCAGAAAAAAGCTGTGAATAGCAAATTACCCGTCTGATTCGAGATAACTTTTATTTGATCCAACTGTAGCATCTGTAAAAAAATGTAAGAATAAAAAGTAAAAAACGGAACTAATAAATAAATTACTTCAAATGAATTCCCATTTTTTAACGATTTCAAGAAAATTAAATGAGAAAGTAGAGGTGAATTGGAAAATTATGCTTATTCCAATTAAGGAAATTCGTATTTTTCATTTTTTTATCATATTCATATTTTTTACTGGGTTCTACTGGTTCCTTTAATTACACCATAGAAATTTTGAAAAACGTTAGGAACAGATTAAGTATGAAAAATAAAATCTTAAAAAGTCCTAATTGCCTTTGTTCTGGTTCTGTTGAAGAAAATTTTTAATATTTGAATTCTATAAATAAGTTTATTTTTATGTTTAATATAATCAAAAATTTAAAAGTAAATTAAACCTTTTGTATCCTCAAGACAATCTGTTGATGACATGATGTCGCTAAAAATGCAGTTTAACTACCTTCACCGAAATTAAAAATAGCTGATGTATATATTTAACAAGACTGCATAAAAGTAAAGAAATTCAGTAAAGATCTATAACATCACATTCATGTTAGATACTTTCTAAAAGGGCAAAAAAATAAACTTATAATATGAACTTATGTTTTTATGGGTAAAAAACTCCAGATCTACTTTTTATTTAATGGCGCACCAATAAATATGGTAAAACGACTTTGTTCTACCTTAAGGCCCTAATCCTTTAGGTTTAACAATAAGCAATAATCGCTCAAACAACTACAACTTTAAGCGAATCCTACCAATATAATCTTTAAAAAAACTTCAGATAACAACAGATAAACAAAATTTATAAAAGAATAAAGCAAATTCACCATTTAAAAATTGAAAAAGGACTGCAAATTGATTGGCAGAAAGCGAATAAAATGGAGTAAAAATAGTGAAGTGTTTAACTAATATATAATTAGTTGGATAACAGATATTAATTCATTAGGCATAATGATTTAAGAGATATGTTCAACTTTGTGGCTTATAAATTCAAAATTGTTACAGACCTAGTGAAAATGTTTCATCTTCAACATCAAAGAATTAAATAAACACCAGATAGTTTTTTTGTCAATGTAACCATACCAGTTTTTTTGTCAATGTACCCATATCACTTTAGGCTAAAATGCAGCCTTTAAAATACCACTCCAAATAACAAATGAAGCGAAGAAAGATTGGATAAAATCTGCGCTTTCTGCCAGGAAAAAATGGAAATGATGGACTAAAAAATTTAACAAGATGCCGCAATTAACTTTCACTTTGCAAAAAATCACCTAGGAATGGAACTACAGATGGACCCATCTGACTTCCACTTTTAACGACAGGTTTAAGGATAAGAATCGAAATGGCTCGTAATGGCTCGACCTCAGCCAAAACAACCACTTCAGCTCCCACCAAATCGCTTATTTCTCTGAGACAAAAATTAAACGATAGACAAATAGACAGTGGACGATGGCCGAATTCCCTCACTCGGCCGCTGTTTCTTTACTTATAAACGAGTCTGTCGTCGTAAAGGATTATAGAAAAGTGTCGTCAAAAAATTTTTTTCCACTACTCACTCATGTTGAAATCAATATTTTATAAGCTTGAGTTTAAATTCGCTTCTCTGATTTGCACTGGAACGATTGTCTGGAATGCACCAATCGCGCTCGCACCCCTTTTCCCCTCCCTCTGCATTTTTTATATACAACCCATCAGCATCACCAAAACAACGAAAACCACCCCTAACCCACCGCCCCTGTAACTAAAAGAAGTAAATTTCGGCGCGCGCCATATGCGTACTTCTTAATTCTTTTTCTGACGATGTGCAACAAAATTTGTAACAACAATTACCAGGATGAAGGCAGTGTTCGTGAGAACAATTATTCGGAGGGATTTAAGAGACGTAGGATATGAAAAGGAAATAGGTCCGGTGTGGAAGTGCTGTCGAACAACTGATTATTTCAACTCATATTTCATAGAAATGGCCGATGCTCTAAATGATGAAATATCTCATATTGAGAATTGCAAAGAATTGTACGAGGGCAACTAATAAAACCCGCGATAATGTCCTTACCATGCCTAGAAAACTTACAATAACATAAGGTGCACTATCCAGCTTGACTTGGCTCGAACCTTGAACGTGATTTGCTTGTCCAACATCATGCGGCTTCTTTTTAACCACTATTTCGCGGATGGCATTTTCAGTTTTTTGCCTTTGAAGAAATGGTGAAAGTGAGAACGTTTGTTGTGGAGGGCGCTGGCAGAGCGGGGAGAAGGGGAGGTGGATTTTCGTTGCAAAAGGAATTTTCGAATAATTTTATTTTCCATTTGTTTTAGTCGTTTCGAACTACTTTTCCAGCTACCGAAACTTGTTCTCCACTTGTCTTCCAATGGAATTCTCAGTCCTCATCAGCCCAAGTCGTTGACATGTTTCACGGCTGCCATAAGGATTATCATTTTGCAGTTTCTTTTCATTCTTCTTCTGAATTATTAGGTTTATTGTAGTGCGATCGTCTTCATAACTTCGTCTTCCTCGTTTCTGTTTTCCATTTGTATTCCCAGCATTGCGCTTTTTTCTAATGAATTTCGCATCTGCGTCGTGTCCAAAGCAGCTGAGCTTGCATCTGATTGTTCTGTGTAATCCGACTTTTTAAAGCTCATTATTTTGTCCGCGATCCACGATATGTTGACGGTTTTCGTCCAACAATATCTTTTGTCAAAAAAATTCTGCAAATTTAATAAACGAATATTTTATTTTAAGAAAATCACCCATCTTGTTTTTTGCGTCATGAATAAAACAAAATAAATAGATGAGATTTTAAAAATTTTAAAAATTTAGAGAACGAAATCCTGAAAAAACTTGCGAAAGTGATCATTATGTGGATAAGATAGTCATTTCTTATTAGAAAATCCAGATGATGCTGGCGATTTACCGGTGACTAATTATTTTTGTAACCTTCAAGTGACTGATAAATAACTAACTGATTGTAATGAGAAATATTTCTTTCTTTATTTTACTTTATTTGCTTTATTTTTTTATTTTAGTGTATCTTTAGTGTTTCTACCTATAGGTGGTATTTTCAGGTCTGTTTTCCTTTGCCCGAAGGATGATCCGCCAAATTCTTTGACGAATTGGACCTCATGAGGCGAGGTTGGAGCCACACGAAGAAGGTTTGAGAGAAAAAATAGGAAATGAGGCTGAAGAAGTAAATAGAGAAATGGTTTTTATGTTGTTTTATTTCCTTTTTTTGCATACATAGCGTCGCCTAGTTTATTGATTTGGTATGCTTCTGAATAGCGTGTGCCATCTTTTGGCATTTTAATTTTCGATAATAAAACAGTTTAGGTAAAGGCTGGTTTCTACAAAGAATATCACAAAATATGAATTCTGTAAATTGCTTCATAATTTAATGTATTTGATATTTTCTCCGGATGACAAAAAAAGCTGCAACTATGAGTCATCAGAATCATCCGCATCGCACTTGCTATGCCCAGCAAATGAGTTAATGAAATAAGAGAGAAAAGAGTTGGGAAAGATATTAGAAAATATCACGGAATAATAGTAGAGTATCTCATAAGTGACAGGTACAATATAGCCTTTATTTCTCTTCCCATTTCAAATCAAATGTAAGCTCCCAAAAGATCATTTTTGGACATTTTAAGTTTTTGTTGGGAATAGGGGTTTGGGAATAGGAAGCGAAGGGTGAACTGGGATTTTATATATTTTTATGTTCAGTTTTACTTATTTTTCTTTGTAATAGGAAAACAATTTCGTTTTTATATGTATAGACCTTTATAAACCTTCCTTTGTCTTCTCTGTATATATTTGCGTCGTTATTAACAAACGATTTAATTACCCAAGTTTGAGGGTTCGCAACGAGATTATTAAGAAGAGAACGCTGGCCGTAGAATTTATATAGTTGAGAAATAAAAGTCCCGCGTGGCAAGAAATTTGTTAAATCTATTATAGAAAAACATAGTGGAGCGGATTCCCGAGGAAATTTTATAAAGCTAGATATTGGAAGTGGGAATTCGTGTAGCTAAGTTTTCTGTTAAATATATTCATTATTGTACCAATGCGGAAATAGTTCGTTTAAATTCCATTGTTCTCAATTTTCAAGAAGAGTTACAAAGCATACTGTTATTGAGGAATTAACTTACTAGACATCGCTGAGAAAATTTTCGTTACCCTTCTACTGAATATACTTGTAGTAGGCAGTAGGAGATAAAAAATTCATGGATAACGAAGATGAATATTGCATTCATCACTGACCAGAAATTTCAATAATGCTTGGAAGTGATATAACTCGCCGAGCTTATTCACTACATTCATCCAGTATGAATGCTATCTTATAAATCTATATAGTATATTACTCGCCAATGTGTAATTTATTTTTTTAAAATTTGTTTTAGTTACTATATAATTTTTTATTTGCATCCTCTCATTGACCATTTTTTTTGTAAAATTTGGTTGAAAAGGCTAATTATGCTTTTTTCTTTTTTATCTATTTTAATATCTTTTTGTTTTTTTTTGTTAAATTATTAACGTTTCTTTTTAATTCGGAGGTTTTGAAACATCCGAAATTTCCTTGATTTTTGCGAAAAGAACTTCCAAAATTTGGCGATTAGTTATTTTCTCATTTATTTAAAAAACAAGTGAAATTATTCGATTTTTTGCAAAATTCCTGTTTTTGCTTTAAAATTTTAAAATTTCTTCAATCGTAATTTAAGGAAATGATAGGTGCACATGTGAAAATATATATTGTTGTGTTTAAAAGCATAAAATTTTCACAGAAAGAATATTTATGTCGGAATTTAGCGATATATATCACTTATAAATATTGTAAATTTATAAATAAAAAATTGGTTTTTATTGATATTGAAAGAAAAGTAAGAAAGGTTTTAGAAAATTCCGGTTTTAAACTCCTATAAAAAGATGAAAATAGAGATTTTATCTTAAGTTTTTAGGCCTTCGATCAAGTCGCAGGCATTTCGATTTTTCGCTCGTTGTGATAGAGAAAGTTGGTGTTACTGGAATTATTTTCAGAGAAATTTGCCTGAAAAGAATTAAGAGATTTTCCTATTAAAAATTTTTTGTATGAGGAGATTGATTAAATAAATAAGAAATAAGCAAATGCATCGAAGAAAATTTTGAAAATTTCTTGAGCGTTCGTTTTCTATACCGCTCTGGTACTCTTTTTTACATTATTTCTGGAATGTCAAATTTTCTATAACAATTATGTTCTAAATTTTAAAAATTTATAATTTATATAATTTACATAATATATAATAATAATTTAAATTATATAATATATTAAACAATTTTTCTTTATTTTCAATTTTGTTTTTCATCCTTTAATTTTTCTCTATCCCCAAATGACTCTATGGTGAAAAAGTCAGGTCTTTTTAATATATATGAAATATATTAAAAATTACGGCTCTTCTACGGCTTTTGCATCCTTTGATGCATCCCTTGATACTATCAACTCAGTGACACGCGATAAATAGGCAATCCGGAGGAAACCTCAAGGAAAGGTTTGGAAATAGGATGTACTCGCAAGCCAGAGTGGTTATTCAAAGCATGTAGAGGTAAACGAGCGAGTTTGCGAGTTTGAAAGCGCGGTGTTAGTTCAGCGATCACTTCTTCACTATTGTGTGGGTCTGTGGATTGTCGGAGGTTCATCTTCCTCACTTCGAGTCTTAAGCAATTACTAATCTTGATTTCGAGCAGAGGTACTGGCTGGCCTTATTATTAAGGTGTTTCGGATAACCTGTTTGGGGGGAAGTGATTTAGTAAGTCACGTTTAAAAAATCTTCTTCTGCTCTGATTGGCTAATAAACCTTATGACCTATGCTTACTTCAGATAGAAGTTTCGCAATATTTTGGTTATCAGTGTATTTATTTAAATTTTATACGATAGATGACAGCAACAATATTCGACTAACAATATTCTATTGAAAAATGGCATGGCCATTGGTCATGGGAGACTGGAACATGCGCATAGGTGCCTAAACTCGATAATTGGCAAATATGGCGTCAGAATCCGATGCGCCAATGGAGAACGCTTTCTTCATTTTATTGATGAGCATGAACCTTTTGTTACTGATACGTGCTTCCGGTAACGAGAACATCTGGTCACGAGAAACTCTTAGGATAACCAACACCACAGCCAGATTGATTGATGGTATCTTTTCTTATCAGGGCGCTGAAACTGGTATACTTCATGGCTTAGATCGCTATGATTCGAGTCAAAATTCGCATAAAATTGACAATTTGCAAGATATAACGTCTCGCAAAATCTTTTAACTATCAATCTCAGACTAGAAGATTTGGCGACAATATATGGAGACGGCGGCCCAATTAGGAGATAATAGAATACGATTTACCATTCGAGGAACGGTCAATGAAATGATAAGAGATAGTAAGGACATGTTCGTTAATGCATGTTCGGACCGGAGTTCGTCCAGATAATATGTTTGCGACTGCGAACCGCCAACAGGAAAGAAAATAATCTCTATATCCAGAAGTCTAAGGCCAAAACTCCGAAGAAGTGGTCCTTAGGCTAAACTTTTCAAATGTTGTCCATTATCCTTCATATCACACCTTCTTTCTGGATCAACAGATTGGATAATGGACATTGTTTAAAAGGTGTAAAAATCACTCTAGAGCATAGTATCACAGGCCTTGAATACGTTGATGATGTAGTCCTTTTTACTATTAGTTGTGACGAAATGCAAATAATCTTAAACATATGTCGATAACCGCAGTGAGAACTGAAGTTGGGATCAATGCAAATAAAACGAAAATATTTTCGACTCATATATAAGATGCTGATAAAACGAAAATATTTTCGACTCATATATAAGATGCTATTTTTATCAATTCATCGCCGATTGATGAAGTGGCAGACTTTACTCCACTTTAAATATCACGGATAATTACAAATGGCAAAAGATGAAATTGCAATTCGAATAACGATGGCTAGAAATGCGTTTTTACGGTTGACGAAAATTTTAATGCCATCGCAAAATCACTATGAAAACGAATGCGTCTATATAGCTGCAATTCGTTTGATTTTGCTATGTGGCTGCGAAACATGAGCGATGAGAGTGGAGGTTATTAAGAAATTATTTTCCTTTGACCAATCATATCTAAGATACGGGTCAGATGATAAAATCTTATGATCGCAGCCGCTTTCGTTCAAATACCACTTGCATTAACAGTATCATCATAAAGCGTTGCCTTTGCTGGTTAGGTACGTTCTTCGTCGTCCACCACAAAAATTGATATTTCGTTATTTGCTAATCCCTGTGATGGATGGCATCAAAAGTGAGGAGAGCCAATCAAGACGTGGACTGATACGGTTAAGAAAGATTTTAAAAAAATTTTATAAAGAGACCAGCGATATATGGATTTAGACGATGGAAAAAGGAATGGCTTCCATTGTTGTCGTCGATAGCGGCGGGTGAATAGTTTGGAGATTTCTTGCCATTGTAGTCAGCGAAACGAGCCTAACCAGTAATGGTGAGAGCCGTTGGAGAAAGAAGCAAAATGCAGCGAAGAAATATTTCAAAAATTAGGTTAAAGAGGAGATAGAAAAGTTATATAAGGAAAGAGAACAACTACAACATTTAAACAAATGGGACAGTGGTGTGTTGCTTCGGCTGGTATCGAACTAATTAACACTCTTAATTTAGCAAGTAAGAATTGACTAGCTTGGAAGGACCTTTCTAGTCAAAGATTTTGCATAAGAGCAATCGTATCTGAAAATCTGACTCGACTAAATATGACATCTCTGAACATCTCGTAACTTCTCTTTCGATTAATAATTTAATCATACGATCATCAAATTCAGAAGATTAGTGATTAATCGTTTTACAGATATAGTTCATTTTTTATATCATTTATTAGCATTTTATATTGGTTTGGTGCAAAAAGCGACTGTACCTTATTCAATTTTAGGTGGAATATAGTCACATAGATTACAACTTTTTGCACATCCTTTTTGAAGTGCCGGCTTCAGCTGCTCTTGATTGCAGTGTTTTAAGAGTATTTTGCATTCATCATTGCTCACTGAAAATAATGGTGGTTTGATCAAACCTCTTCAACCAAGCATTTGGTTAATTATATTTGCTTCTCAAGTTAAATTAAGCATTAATTCAAGCATTATGGAATTACTAATGGGATAAATCTCTCAAAGATATAGGAGATATAGGAGACTTATATAGGAGATTAAGACAATACATATATATGTATTGGAAGATATAATTAATGAAAGGGTAGAGTGACTTAATGGGCTCATTTTTGAGCGCCTATGGGTACTCTTGGTATTAGAGTAAATCTATCTTTCAAAAACCCGGAAGATAATGGCGAGTTATTCGTAGCGAGGTGGCTTCATGGCAAGATTTGTCAAACCAGTGAAGTGAGTCTAATCAGAAATGGAGAAGCGCTTAGAAAAATTTAATTGAAATGATGGGAAAGTATAATAAAATTTAATAATAAATATAATAAAATAATAATATACTAACAAAAGTCTTGGCATTCTTGCTTTACAGGTTCAGCACAAGTAAGCGAATAAAATGAATTAATAACAATAAAAATTGCGAAAGCATATACAAAAAACATCTGCAACAGAAGAATTTTGCACAATATTAAGGTTTCGTTGAAAAAATTTTAAAAAAGTGAAGGGAATTTTCTGCTGTACTATGACAAGTTTGATTCGACTATCGTTAATTTAATTTCATGTGCTTCAGCTAAAGTCGATACTATCATAAATTCGGTCCCTATTCCTTGGAGGAAAAAGGAAAAGGACATTGAAAGTAAAACGTCTGTACTTTTTGTCTGCTCATGGATCCTTTAAGCGAAGGAATTCCTTCCCTATAGCCCATGGGGTCGGCCAGACTAGACTTGATGAATGCTACCAGAAAAAGGTACACAATATTAACAATACCTTAATCGTTGACGCTGCAACTAGCACTAAACGTCTAAAGCACAAAATGAAGTAATTATTTGTGTGCTATGGAGCAACCAAATTTATTTTTTCTCTATATCGTTATTCATTTTTCATAACGAGTTTTTATGTTCAAATTGAGTAAAATCACTAGAAAATGGTAAATTACAATTAAAAATTCCTATATACCCGTAAAGCTACCCAATTATTGGAGTTTTAATGGTATTTCTGCTCAGAATAATTAAAAAATCTGTCAATACAATAAAATATTGCGAGTTTTGAATTTCAACATCGAATTTATTATGGAAGTTATTTTTTACAATAAAATACAACATATTAAAAATGCATAATGCATATCATAAATTTAGCCACTGAACAACTGGCGAAAGTACCAGGAAAATTTCAGTGAAAATTTTAGAAAATTAAATAATTAACAGTTCTAGGAATTTCTGAATCATTTTTAAAGGGGAAAAATTAATATCGCAAGGAAAAATTCCATTTTTAATTTAACGCTTAAATCAATTGCTAAATTGTTGAAAATGATCGATGCACTATTTTCCAATCGCTTTGCATAATATTTTTAGTTATTTTTCGTATTTTTATAAGTTTGTAATAAAATTGGACATGCATTTACCCGAACTATTTTTGCCTCTTTAATTAGCAAATAGGAAGAGGGAAGTTCCACTAAATTCGTTTCTTAACCAAGCGCAACAAATATTTTCATCTATTTTCTACATTTTAACGTATTTGATGAATATACATAACACTTTTATTCTATGTTGCATAGTTGCGATGTCACAACAATCCGCGAAAAAATTTTGTAACAATAAATTATTTTTTTTCGCGAAAATAGAAGATGGAAATTAACGACTATATTATAAAACTACGTAGCTGAATTGATGTCTCATAATCCTCTGATTTGCAATTAAACTTCAGGATAAAAAATATGCTTTTAATCTCCAAAAATCGATTTAAAAAGTCACCAAAGACTGGTTTTTATACAATTTGGATAGTAAATGTAACAAGTTTTGATGGCAATTAGATTTTGATGAAACGCAACGATTGTACTTTAATTAAGACTTGCGCTCAGCAAAAAAATCAGTAATTGACCACTTCAAGAAGTAATGCTCGTAATAATCGTGCTTCATATGTCACCGTACTCTTAGCATTTTCCAGTCGAGGATCCATTAAAGGTCCATTAATTACTGTTGGTATTTGTTTTCCGAATACTAAAATAGAAATACAAGTGTTGTTTTTAAAATACTTTTAAAATATATCCTTGCCACAAGTGTAAAGTGATAATCGTTTAAAATATACGCACAACTTACTTTCACACTGTTCAAGAAAATGTAAGCAATCATCGATAATAGAATCACGTATAGAAATAATATGTTTGGAGAGATTTTCGATGGCAGATACCAAGCATCTCTTTGAGTAGTACCAGGTATCTGTGCCAAGCTTTTCATCAAAAGGCTCCAAAGCTTTTATTACTCGAGATATTCCAAATTCATAATTCCCCTATGAATTAGAAGTAAAATAAAAATTCAAATTTATTTATTTATTTGAGAAGACAATTGTCGAAGATTTGTGCGCACTTATGAAATCTATGTATTTAGCCTTTTTCGTCTTTTATCACAATAATTTTGGCCTAGATCAGCCTGTACTTCATGTGGCTGTCTGCTGAAATAGTCATATCTTTTAGTAACCGCTGAAATGAGCCCAGCCAGAAATGGTGAATGTTGCAGAAAAGAAAATTTTTTTTCGGAAGACTAAGGAAGCTAATTAATTAATAGCAAAGATGAAATTTATTATCCAAATTTTTTGAATTTGTATATTTATTTAATATTTTGATATGATATGATATGATATGATATAAAAACATGAAATTTTGAATAGTTATTAATAAGTAATATTTAATAGTTATTAATAACGAAATTAGTAATTGCAATGAAATTCGTCAGAAACCTTCGAGCAATAAAGCGTCCCAATAACTAAATTTATTATGCACAGGTGAAAACTTTTTTTCTTTTCATCTATATATTGGATTTCTTCATCATTTTCCACCTTCTTCATCAATTCTTCGGCCTGAAAATATGATACAACTGCCATATTGCAAGCAAATAGGAGATCAAGGATCATCTGGATTAGGGCGCAGATTACTGAAGAACCAGATGAACCGTTTCGCTATAGAAATCGAATTAAAACACATTTCTCATCCATAAATCTGCAATGAAAACTAGGTGGATTCCTATAATTTTCTATAAACTACTTATTAATAAAATAATTGTTAATTATTCTTGGAGAAATGGAAAGAACTATTCCTTAAATTTCCCGCGATGAATATTAAAGCGGAAGATTTATGGTTTTGTGGACTTTCTGGGATAAAAGTCCACAATGAGATGACTTTTACTTACCAAATAAATCAGTTAAATCGATTATTAATTAAAATATAAAATGCAAAGTAGCATTTAATCTATATTTATAAAAATTTTTAAAATTAATAATTTTAAAATTAATAAATACCTCTTCATTTTGATTTGTCATAATATAGCAAACGCAAAGATTTGCCAAAACGATTGCGCTTATATTCAGCATCTAAGTAAGAAATGCATTAATGGAATAAAATGATTTTAAAAGAATTGATCAGTTAAATAGTAATAAAATATAAAAGCGACAAGCAAGTGTGCTGCTTCGAAACCAGTTCAGTTTGTTCAATTTGCAAAATAGGAATGGCTTTTTAAAGTGAAATCCGAGTGGCCCATTTATAATTCTCTCTTCAAATGAAAATTTAGTAAAATCGGACAGAAATTTAAAACCCAGTATATGATACATAAATGGATAAAATCTAGAACTATTAAAGGCATTTTAAAAAAAACTTTTCTTGCCCCATGTGAATGATCACGATCGTCCTCAACCTTGGGTCCTCTATCAGAGGCCTTGGAGATTGGTTTTGCGCAGCATCTTAACTTTCCACAATAATGCTCTTTTGGATAGAGAATGATCTCTGATGTTATTCCTGGAATGTGCTGAAGCCACTTTTCCAGTCTAGGGGTCACAATTATCAATGGAATTAGCCACTTTGACCATTATTTTCCACATGTTATCTATTTCCTCTTTCATCTTCTCTAACTTCTCTATCTTCTGACTTTCTCTAACTTCTCATATTCCTTTTTTCTGATATTCCTCTCGCTTGGTAACCTATATCAGTCACTAGTGCTGATTTCTGATTCTTACCTGCTACCATGTTGGTTATCATGTTTTCTTATTGTCTGGTTAATTAGCCAGCTCTTATTTGACAGGACTCATTTTGATGATGATGATACTTCTACGAAATTGATTTCACCTCGATCAGGCGAAATGTTCGCTCTTGAAGCTCATGTAAGTCTATTAAAGTCTATGATTTGAGGGAAATATTAATATTGATTTAAATATAATAATTCGACGGTTTGTATAGAAATCTCTTATCAAATAGTTATTATAATACAAATTTTTTTGTGAATTTGAATAAAGCTTATCAAAATTAAATTTTCGACAGGACTCTGCTTGAAATCTGGAGAAACTTCGCAGGATCTTCACCTTATTATTCTCTACGATTTTTTGAGGAATCTTTCATTTAGTCTTGCGACGATCTAAGCCATAAGAGGAAATGTTCCTGTAGATGATGCCAGCTACTTGGTTATTTCTTTCAGCGTATATTTTCCTGCTTGTATTTTCTCGCCACTATATGTTGGACTGTTTCTGCTTTCTGGCTTTCGCACAGAGTAGATCTTTGTATCGATGGATCTTCCTCCTGTGCTGTTATAATCAATGCCTCAGTGTTGCCTTTTAATTCGCTTTCTCCAATGCTAGGACTTCACAATGTCGACTACTACCTCAGCTACCTCAGTTGATGATGCAATCCATAGAGGGCCTTGCTTTGCCATGATATTTCTTCTTCTTGATCGTTTTTTAATGTCTGTACATGTATTTTTCTTCAGATATTCTCCCAGTATTTCATCCTTTAGTGCCATCTTGCTGATATATTTCTGAATGCTTCTAGTTTCGTTCAAGATAGTGGTTTCACACTCACCAAATTCCACCGGCTTTCTTTACGGCTGGTGTAGCCTTTAGATATTAAGTTTTATGGAAATATTAAATTTTGTGGAGTGGAAATTTCCGTGCATTTTGAGGAGTTTCCTTGTCTTTACACCAGCAGCCTCCATGTCTTCCTTTGTCCATCTTACAGTGCCATCTGCCTATCTTATGACTGGTAGGTTATATATATTTATGGCATGGATTTTATTCATCCCATTGAGCTGGTCTACCTCACTAGTTATTACTCCTACTACTACTTCTACTATTATTATGTTTCTCTTTTTACTATCATATTTCTTCAAGATTTATCTTGTACTTTAGTGATACTTAGGTGTTAGAGTTTTTCCTTGCCTCCTCATTGTGGTTACCATGTGATGGTGGGATACTAAGATACTTGTAGCTAGCCTGTATGTCCGCTACATGTCCTAATGGCAAGTCCCGATAGTTATTATGGCTATTACTATTTCTACATACCTCTTTTTTCTACCATTGTTTTAATTCAGATGACATCCCATTTTCATCGCTTAAGATCCGCGTTGGATGGATGAATGAGTCAATATCTTTAGTTCATTTTTTACAAATAACTTGATATCATATATGTAAGAATTTAGAGAAATACTATGTAGAGATGGCTGATAGTAGTCTCGAATTTGTATCCATATCCTTATCCACTTTTGGTGATTATCTGACTGAGCGGGTTTAGACCTATGCATAACAGTAGGGGAGGCCAGGCATCGCACTTGCTATTTATACAATCTGTTTCGAGTTGATTTCGAGTGTCATTTTCCACAGCCCCATTGAGTTCTCAATAAACGTTTTTAGAGTCTTGCTGTCTTTGTATAGAGCTAGACACACACAGATTCATGTGTGCGGCATTGAGTAGATTTTCCTATAATCAATCCAAGTTGTACAATCCAAATTATCTTGTCGAGATTTTGAATCTTGAGAAACATCAGCACTGGTGACTGATATATTGACACCAAGGGACAGGAACGTTCGCAAGAAAAAATGTGAGAATTTAGAAAAATACTAAGAGCTGAAAGACGAACTGAAGATGTGGAACAAAGTGATTCCAGCTACAACTGGAGCACTTGGAACTGTAACTCCTAAATTAGAAAAGTGGCTTCAATAGATTCAGAAACAACAAGAGATTTCTATTGAGAAGGGCGCACTATTAGGACAGCTAAAACAGTGCGCAGAATTTCAATCTCAATCTCCCAGGCCTCTGGTAAATGACCTGAGGTAAAGGTAGTCATGGCCACCCACAAGGAAGTGAGAAAAAAATTTTTATTTATATATTTTATTAAAATATTTTTTTAAAAAAAGTTGTTTATACGTATACGTTATCAAAATTCTTTTTGACGATCGGTTCATAAAAACCAGCAGCTTCTTTGAATTTATTGCCCTTTAAATAAAGGATGTAAATTTATATTTTATGATAATATATTGATAATTTGTTATATGGTTAGTTCATACGATATAATACAGGGATAAAAGGTCCAAATATCCCTTCCTTTAGACAATAAATTTGGCACCACCAGCTATCAGAATATATTAAAATATTAACTATTGCCTGAAATCGTCATACTCAAATTGAGAAAATAATTGGTTAGTTTAACTAATATGAATGCAAATATTAAATACGTTACTTGCATAAAAAGAGTGTGTGCAACATTCAATTTCCAAACATCATGTTCGCTGCAAAACTCGACTGATTTACGAAATATTTTTTCAACTTGTGCATAGTTGCTCATTTCCCAGTAAATTTTTGCTTGTGACATCAATACAGGCAGATATCTACAACAGAAAAAATTGGCCAAACTTCGTTACGATAATATTTTATGACCTCGCAACCCAATGATATATGAGCTCAGGAGGGCGTAAAAACTAATGATTTCCGTTAGACAGGTGTTTGATCGAGAGGCATTGAAACGCATCGCTGGTGTCTAATTAGCAATGGTGCATAGTGAATAATGTTGAACTGCAACTATTCCTTCCTTATTTTGTCAAGAAATTAAAGCTTTGATTTATTAAAAAATGCCTGAAATATATAGATAAAAATCTACGATACAAGCAGTAAACTGAAAGTAAATTACTTGGCCATTGTGTCATCATACAAATCCACGGCATTTCGTATAGTTTGTTCCTCATTGTTTTGTCTGATATCCTATAAGGCATGGCAGAACTTAGTCATCTTCATTAATTTCCTGAGTTGATTAGTAATCAAATAATGGTTTCTAATTCATTTAATAAATAGTTTCTTAAATTATTCCCATTTAGCAATGAAAAAGTGGATTGAATTTGATCAGTTTATAGAAATTACTTGGATTTTTTTTGTCAATTTTCGTAATTCCTTGATTTGATCATTTGCTAAAGCATCGAACTTATTATATGCTTCGAGAGGAGCGGTTTGCTGAGTAATTATTGCATCCAGATAGTCACGCTGGTACTATAAAATGGAAGATTCAAATGCATACAGTTATTTAAATAAAGGGTTATAAGGAGCTATAAAATGCTAACAAGTTTTAATTGCTCATAATCACAATAATATAACAAAAATAAAAGTGACCTGAGTTAAATATTTATAGGTAAGATGACCATTTTCAGCAAGTATATCCGCAGCAAGATCATAGTACTGAAATTTTGTTGGTGGTTATTCCTGATTTCTGGTCTCATTGTTAATACGTGGATAAAAATGGACGATTGATTATCATTATGCAAAAAGTTCGTCAAGTTAAAAGGAAAAAGTTAAAATCAGTGGTGCCAGGATTGACAAACGTGGATATATTTGTAATTACCATGATACGATTCACTGAAAATCTCACTTCATATTTGCAGTACAACAGAAGCAAATTGCTAAATGTTTCTGGAGGGAACGGATTCTGATTCAGTAAATACTGTAGCTTTGCGAAACCTGAAATTATTCATCAAATTTTTTTTTCGCAATTCTAAAGATGTTAAATCAAAAATCAATGGCAATAAAAAATTTACCATCAGATGGATTTTTGTCCATGTTAATCAATGCTTGATTGTGAAGAGTTACTGGATCCAGTTCCTCTTCATGTCTTGGTGGCATATCAGTTAATGCTTCTGAAGCTGCAGCCACTAAAATATTCTATTAAATCAATTAAATCTCAGTATCGAAATCTTTTTTTTTAATAGCTTAATTTTTTATCTGGATTTAACATTTCTGAATAGCTCACCTGCTTGTAAAACTAGATAAATTTCAGAGAACCACTAGGCAAGAGGAACAAAGTGAATTAAAGGTAAGTTTAGTTTAGCTAGTGAGTTTTTATCGGATTTTTAAAATGTAGATTTCCTGTCAGGAATAGAAGCCCATCATCGGCGCTCCGAAATAAGAGCAACAATATATTGGCCCATTCTACACCCCGCATATTGTGAATATGTTAAATTGTATTATCAGTTAACATTCTTTACAATTTTTAAATTTATATTCGATGGCACATTTAAGGTTACACGCTTCGATTAGGCATGTCTCGTGAAGTAGCAACGTATTACCGACGGAACGCACGTCCATGCCTTCTGTTACCATTCCAATAGATAATTCTAAATATTATTGTATTATTAATTATATTAAAATAACGAAATGATCGATTTCGCAGTTAATTAGAGATTAATAAGGCCTTCATATTCTCGGAAATATAAATTAATAGTCAAAATAATTGGAAAAAAATTTACAAAATATAAATATAAAATTTTGAAAATTCAAGCGAAAAACTGAAGCTGTGAAAAGTTCAGAAAAGTTTTTTAGCGCTGAATTGTTACAATATAGCCACAATCACAAAATTATTTCCTAAGCAAGATAATATGGATGATTTATAACGAACCAGGATGATCTTTAATGCCACGATCAATGATATCAGCAATGAATTTGAGTGCTTGGGAATATTCATGCATTTGATAATGGCATAAAGCGATTGAATAAGTTATATCAGGCTGAAATGTTGTTTCCAATGTACTGTAAACGAAACTGCTTTTATTATATATTTCGACATAATGAAGGATGATGCAATTTTTTTATTTAACTCATCTGTGATATTTTTTTAACAATATCGGCTTCAAATAATTAAAAGTATTATTCCTTTCGTCTTGAAAATTCCAATTTGCTCACAAAGGAACGCCCAGTCCCCCAGAACGCTTTGGTTTTTCCTGGCTATGCCTTTTCCTTGGAGTCCAGAATGGAAATGGAAATATTTTGTTCAAGGAATCTGAGGATATGATTATATGAGAATAAGACTTCTGATGTGGTGATATACACAGACACAAATATCACCATAATTACAAATGAAGAGGATCTGTTAAACAAAGGATGAGAGTAATCTTGAAGAAACAGCGATCTTTTCTCAATTCCTATCCCCAGAAGAGCAAAGATTTTAAAGCCGACAATGAAGCAGATGCACCAGATGCACTGTGATGGGAAGAAGTGTTCTTGCAGGAATGAGCTAAAATTTTCCGGAACGTACGTCAAAGAAAGTTAAAATGACGAATTTTAAAGTTCTCTTTAATCAGTTTGCGAGGATTATTCAAGATTACCAGAATGAATATAATAAACTAAAGCTTTTACTTTTCGTGGTTAATTTGTAGTGAATATTTCTTAACGAAAATTCCTTTTTTCAAGTATATTATATTATATATTATACTGCAAAATTCAAATTCGTCACCATTCTATTGAAAAAAAATTTTTTCTTTCAAATGAAAAGTATGATTGTACCAAACATGCGTTAAAGGAGTAAAATCGCCAGTAGTTGTTTCTAGTGAAGTCAAACATTAACGGTTCAACTCTTTCTCGATGATAAGAATAAGCCTATCACTGAAAATGCAAGCGGTAATGGAAGTCTACCTATACTTTTATTCCCAAGTGACTGGTAAAGATGTAAATGATGGAACTTTCTCATTCTAATACAGCCAGCAAAACAACAAATGGTCACGCGTTACAAGATGTTTAGTTATACTAGTTATACATAGTTACCATATACATGGTTAACTTGCATACTGCAAGTATTTTACTACTCCTTTCAACTTTTGGGATAATTTCCTATCGCGTTTACAAATACCAGTGACTATCCTTATCTTCTTCTTCTAATAGCTCTCACCATTACTGGTTAGGCTGGCTCCAGTGACTACAAGGATAAGGCGCTTCCAAACGGCGCGGTCTGATGCCATCGTCGACAGTAAGAGAAGCCATTTTCTTTTCCATCGTCTAAGTCCATATATTGCTGGTCCACCTATACGTTCAAAACCTTTCCTGACCCTATCAGTCCAGGTCTTGATTGGTCCACCTCTTGATGCCATCCATCACACGGGTTAGCAAGTAACGAAATATGCGACAACTCTTGTGGTGGACGACGGAAAACGTGCCCTAACCAACGAAGACGATGCTCTGTGATAACATTATTAATACAGTTGGTGTTTGAACGAAGATGGATGCGATCATATGATATTTTATCCGCTCGATGAACCCGTAAAATATACATATACCTTAGACAAAAATGGTCAAAGGTAGATAGCTTCTTAATATCTTCCACTCTCATTGGCCATGTCGTAGAGTCTTATAGCAAGATCGAACGAATCACGTCTATATAGACTTTTGTTTTAATGGTTTTAATGTAATTTCACGACGGCTGCGTAAAGGTTTCGTCAACCGGAAAAACGCATTTCTAACCGTGATCCGGGCTATTATTAGAGTGGACCCAAGGTATTTAAAATCGGGCATTCCTCGACCGGCAATGAATTTACAAAAAGAGGCATTTTATCAGCTTCTTGTACATAAGACGAAAAAACTTTCGTCTTGTATACATTGAGCCTGAGTCCTATTCTTGCGTTTCTGACACGTTATTTAGCATTACTTGCCTTTCGCCATAACTATTAGCAAAAAGGACTACATTATCAGCGTATTCTAGATCTGTGACACGATGCTCTGGACTGATTTGGACACCTCTTAAGTGCCAAAGTGTCCATTATACAGTCTACCGCATAGTTGAATATTGTAGGGGAAACCAGTTCTTATTTCGAAGGAGTCTGTTAGTTCCTCATATACACGCCGACGTACGCTCATAAAATGAGTCGAATGATCTTCTGTGGAGCACCGACGCATTCCATCACCCTCCAAAGCGCCTTTCTATCAAGCCGCAAAGTCGAAAAAAAAACATGTAACAGTGGGTTGCAAATATCTGAAGAGGCGCATTTAGAAAAAGAAAAAAATACACGTGAGTAAACTGCAATAAAAAATGAAATATGGTAAAAATAATGAAAATAGGAAAAAAAGTTCTTGCTCTCTGAATTAATAATTAATAGCAAACTTTCTGGAATAAAATAATAAAACAATTTAATGGGAAACGATGTTCTATATAAGCAAAAAAAGGAAATAGCCAAAAGCCAGAAACTCTAAATGATCAAAACTGAAACACAAGCTAAGATAAAGGATACAATAGGAATATTGTCTGAATAAACGTCAAACCATAACAGAAAATTTCCCCAAAGAGACCCGGCACCCCTCATTAGAAATGACGTAAGCAGCCGCTGCTGATAAACCGCACCCTAATGAAACCCAATATCAGCGTTCCAGGATCCAAATAATAGCTAATTCGCTACAAGACCATAAATAATATGCTGTAATAATATTCTGGTTATGAACTGATGATAGTTAGAACACTATAACACAATATTGGCAATGTTCCAAATTGTATTTGAATTGAATGTGCTAAGGTGTGGGCGATGGGTCGTCAGTGGTATGGCTGGGTCGTTAGTGGTCTGGCTGGGATGTCGTGGAGGTCGAGCCAAATAGTCGAAATGGCTATGGCTATATTGCGATGTTTTATTTGAATTCTAGTTAAAAACATTCGCATTTATTATTTTTCCACTTTATATTTTTAAAGTGGAAATTTTCTTTCTTGTTTTCTTTTTTTTCTGATAACTCATTCTTTTTGGCTTGGCGGGCTTGAACTGGGCCTTAGGATGAGGTCTGTCGCTAAGAATCACTGGCGGATAGAAGAAGTGGTTCCCCAACACCATTTGAATTTCAGTTCCAGTGAAAATTTTCATGAGATAGGAAGTGAACCCATGATCTAGAGTCGAATCAATCGAGTCGAAACATTTTGCTCTAATTAATAATGTTAATAATAATGTTAATGTTAATGTTAAGATGTAAACGTAAGGGCCATTTGGCTTATTAAAGGTTGCAAAGGTTATAAGGATACGGATATAAATAGAAATAACCCAGCAATGGGAAGAAATATTGGAATTAATATTGTTTTTGGCCAGGTAGCATTCGGTTTGTTTATCTTGTTTATCTTTGCACTGACCGCTCTTATGGATTTATTTGGGCGAGCGGAAAAATATGAAAGCAAAGTATAAAGTATAAAGATGTGAGAAGCAGGAGGTTTCGCGAGTACCTTCAAGAAAGTTTAATCCATTCACTGTGGCGGTCACTTCCCAGTCACACGTCCCACCTGCACTAAAAATCAACAAAAAATTATTTTTTTACGAGTTCACAACAGTTTACTTCGTAATTTACTATAATTCCAGCTACATTTTTTTTTTTAAAATTCTGTTATTCCCTTGGTTTTTACTAATTTTGGCTTTTTTTCTTATCAACAAAATTATGCCTTTTTCGACCGAAAAATGCCAATTTTTTTTATCCAACTTGGTCAGTTGTAGTTTTAAAAATATTCATATTTTTTTATTTTATTGATATTTTGTTCTTTATTTTATGATTATTTCGGAATTTTTTTTTTTTTGTTATATTTTATTATTTCTTTTTTATTTCTGCTGGTTATATGCAAAAAGATTTTTAATAGATATTTAATAGATATTTAGCAGTGATAAAATTTAATGGTTTCTTCGATGATGAAGAGGTGTTGTTATTGCCAAGCACATTTGCCGGAATCAACGTAAATTCATTTATTTATATATATAATTACAATTATTCATGAAGTAAAAAATAAATTAAGTGGTTCATTTCTGGCTGGATCATTTCTAGCTATTAATACGGTTAGAAAAAATCGTAGAAGAATAGATGAGTTGCGAGTACTACAAGGATTTTTTAATGACAGTTCTTGTCAAGAGCTGTCGTTAGTGGTCTGGCTTGGACGCTTGCATTTGAATACGATTATTTGAATCAAATCTTTTTTTGCTTAAAATTTACGTTATATTTAAAATTTTTTAGTGGTTAAACTAAGTGGTGAAATTTGAGATTAAAGATAAAGGAGAATAAGAATAAGGAGAATTAGGCGAAAAGGAGAGGAAAAAGATAAAGGAAATACGGAAAAGGAGAAAAAGAAGAATGTTTTTTGGTTTTGTTTTCGATTTTTTTTCATTGGAATTTTTCCTAAATAATTCATTATGGAAAAAATTTTGAAATTAAAAAGTGCATAAATTTTAAAAGGGAAAATATGAAAAAAGTATGATAAGTATTTATCAGTAATTCATTTGTTTGCAGAAATGGACAAAATAATGATTTAAAATGTGAAAAATGCAAGAAGAATGAAGCGAAGTATAAAATTAAGGTAATTTACGATTTTCTTAATAACGTCACTTTTACTTTTTTATATTTTTATTTTTAAAAGAGTGGAAAATGCTAGCTTTTTTATTTTTAAAATTAAAACAATGTGTTTTTCATAGAGTTTCCATCATTTTGACGAATATTTATAGCCAACCCATTGTATATATTGTCAGTTGCCCGCTGCATTTGTTGATAATAAATGTGTATGGTGTTCCTATGGGGAGCGGAAAACTGGACCACCAGTTCCTTGCGTAAAATGTAAGATTAAATCCGCCTTTCCCAAAGATCGAACTTCGTCAGATGCCGTGAGTGCCTAATTTGTAGCATATTTGCTTATTCTTCTGCGAAAAATCATGTAATTTTGCATAAATTATAGAATTATTCGCTTTTCCATTATCTTTTGTTTTTCTTGTATTTTATTTTTATAGACTTGGATTTGTCGACTATGTTCATTACTTAATAAGACAAATAAAAGTTTGGGTAAGCGTAAGTCATCAGACTTAGGACGTATTTCTCAATATAAACGTAACAATGAAAAAAGCGATCATAAAAATAAACAGCACAAGGTAATTAGACGTTTTTTTGATTAAAAGTAGTAGGAGTAGAATTACTTGTGTTTGACCCATAAAGTGAAATATAAATTTTAGGTAACTTTTTCAACGGACCTAAATTCAGAACAAGTTCAGTCGGAACATATTTTAGTTGTACAACAATATAAAGATGAAATTTCAAGTCTACGAAAACAATGTTCTGAAAAGGATAGACTGATTTTGGAACGTGATAAAAAGGTTATTAATCAGAGTTAAAGGTTATTTTACCGTTTTTGTTCCTGTAGTTCTTATTATTCCAGTTTTAGATAGCAGCATTGAATGCGGAAATACTATGCAATGAAAAAGAAGGAAAGCAGAAAGTTTTACAGTTGCAGCGGCAGCATACGGATGCAATTCAGAATCTTCATGAACAGATTCGATCACTAACGAAACAGGTGTCTTTTCAGCTTAATGAATTAAACTCATATATTTTCAATAATTTACATTATATTTCGACGCTAATTAAATGGGTCAAATGCTTAAACCAGTTTTGGTTATCTCTTGCAGATTCGAATATTACAAAAAGGAAATTAAGGAATCTCGGTGTTGATCTCGGCAAATTGTGTGCCAGTGTATGGAGATGTATGCACATTTCCTATGCTCATTTATGAAACAAGCGGGTCTTTTATTTATATTTTTTGTATGATTTTGTCTTACATGGAATGTTAAATTGCTTTAATGCTTTTATTAAGTTTCATAGCTTGAAATACTTTATGTTTTATTACAATGGAGAAAAGTTTCTTACTGCCTACCTATTGGATGGAGAATGGTTAGCTTTGATTCTATCTTCGTGAAAATAACGCAAAGGAATTGAATAATAAATAAATAAACTTAGCACAATAAATAAATAAACAGTTTTTAATTCCTTAAGATTATGCATATTTTATTTTGTTTTATCACTCGTTTTTATGTCTTTCGTATTTTTTATTCGTAATTATTTAGAGATTCGTAAAAGCGCCTTAGAGTGAATCATTATTGTGGAATAATTGTGGAATTGATTTGTGGAATACGTTATGTTTCTTTCGAGTTATGAATATTATTTCTCTTTAATCTAGCAGCTTATCGATATTTTTGAGTAATTTTTTTTTAAAAATTAGAAGAATATTTTTTCTTTTTGTCTAGCAGTGTAACTTATACTAATGTTTCGTTGTTTTATGAATTTTTTAAATATATATTTTTAAATATATTGATTTTCGTTAATGAATAAATTTATTTTCCTATGAAAATAAATTTTATTTGATAACTGCTTTTACATTTTTCCATTTATGTGCAAAAATTTCCAAAACATGTTTGCCATTTTTATATTCGCATAATTCGCAGTTATGTAAAAATCCAATAATCGATGGAAAATAGGAATGCCCTTTGTCGCCGTTTAGAAATTTATTTCGAGTCGTTCTGATGAATAATTGGAAATAACTGAAATATTTCAGTTATTTTAGCTTTCATAGAAGATCCAAAGAATGGAAGAAAAATTAGATGATATTCATTTCTTAAAGAAAATATCTAAAAAATATACTGAAAAGTTTAAAAATTTTAAACACTTGCTAATGTGTTGAAAAAATTGGTAGAAAATAATAGGGTACTTTGTAAAAAACAAGAAGGGCAAAATATAACTGTGAAAGATTCCGCAAATAACCTCGAGAAAAAGTAAAAAATATCTGCCACTGGTATATAAGTTTCTCAACAATGTGAATGGATACGTAACCTTGGTGATCCAATATACGACGTTTAGCATAGTTCCAAAATTTTTTTTTATTCTTTTCACGTTTAATAAATGAAGTAAATGAATAAGTAGTGCATGTTAAACGATACTTTTTCAGACATTATTTGTTATGACATTTGTACCGATAAAAAGCGGCGAATATACTAGCACAATTTATGGAATGGTTTGTTTTTTCTTTCTAACTTTCCAGTTATTGCAGAAATGCTCTTAGCAAGGAAATTAGAGGCTTTATTCCTATTGAATTCAATGAATTCAAAATTCAATGAATTTAATGCCTACCAAACATTCATCTATTTGTTTGTTATTTTTTATATAAAATATTATAATAATATTATTAAAATATTAATTAATGGTCGATGAGTGCTAATGAGTAGTATTTCTTTGTTGCCATGACCGGTGTCAAGGTTCGTCGATTCGAATTGCCTTTGAAGGTGAAATCAGTGTGGTTTTTTCTCATTTGGCTCTCTATCGAAAATCCCTCACCCCAGCACGCAGTGGAACTAATTAAACCAGAAATATTGTTAGAAAATGAAGAAGAATTAACGAATTCAAAATGAAACTTCAGATTAAGGATGAGCGATATTACGATGCTATTCGAATTTTGCATTTCGAGCAGCAACGAACTCCTAATGTAATTTAAATTATTTTCTCGCTTATATAAAATTGAAAATTTGCTTTAAATAAAATTTAAATAAAATTTGCTTACTTTTTTGTGATATTTGTTATATATATATATTAATAATAATTAAAATAATAATTATTCAATAGCAGCTACGAATATAAAATTTTTTTGTAGAATCGTGCTGCGTTGTCGTTACTGGGTTATTGCTATTTTTATACTCAAGATTTCACATTAGCTGCTGAATGCTATGAACAATTAATGCAGAAATATCCATCATATGCAGAATATCGTTTGTATTATTCACAGGCCCTCTATAATGCTTCTTTATTTCCTGAGGCAATTGCGGTGATATCACAGGTTATCAATTTCTTTCTATTTGCATCTTCGAACGAATATGGAGGTATTTCTCTCCATTGACGATTATTAACGATTTGTTGTTTTTTGAGGCTGACGAAGATAGAACAATTCAGTTTTTTTTAAAAGAAGACCGTTCATCGTTTTGGCTTGCATTTAGGCTCGCAATATGAAATTCCATGAAAATAAACGAAATTTTTAAGGTAGAAGACCCAAAACTTGCTGGTCAAGTAATTAAACTTAAATCGGCAATCAAATATCGCGAGGAGGATTTAAACAACGCAAAAATTCTTGTACAACAATATGAAGTTGGCGATCCAGACACAGAAATTAACCTCGCATGTCTTGATTATAAGGTAAATATTATTTTAAACCGTTTTTATATATTTTTCTCACCGCTTTTGTATCCTCTTATTATAATTAATATAATTTAGTCTTCCTTTTCTCCTTCTTTCAAGCATCCACTACCACTGGTTTGGTGAACTTTAACTATAATAGGAAGAATATTTGGTTTTGGGATAAAGTGTATTGGTCCGTAGCATTACCTAAAACCTGAATTTTACTTTTAATGATATATCTATCACTTGCAGAATTTCTCTCATTTGCTCCCATTATGGGATAGGAAAAGAAACCACAATGCTTGGGCGCAATCAGTGCAATGACCAGAGAAAGAAACATTTGAAGAATTTAATAAAAACCCATCGATTAAAACTAATAAAATTTGATTAATTTAAAATTCATTTAATTTAATTTCATCTGTGCATCTTAGGAAGGAAATTTCAAAAAAGCTTTGGAACGTTTTCATTCAGCGTCAAATATTCATGGATACCAGGTTATTAAATTTATAATTTCCTAATAATTTATCTTTTTTGATTATTTATTAATGCCATTGAAGTCTAAATTCTTGCCAAATTATATTTTGTGGCACAATTCAGCAGTATGCGTCCATAAACTGCATTCGAGTTGAAACTGAACATTCGAATCTTTATTTCTTAGTTATTGCAGTTTATATCTTAGTCAGTGCAAAAATATCCTACAGGTTTAATGATGAGCTATTGTAAGCAGAAAATGAGATACATCTTTTTCAACCATCCAGAAGCAAGAAGGTTGAATTAATAGATAGATTAATAGAATAGAAATTAGTTGAGGACTCTTTGGGGCACATTTATTCTATTTACTGTTTAGTGATAAATGATTCTATAAGGATAGTCTATATGGCCTATGCCCTATGCCCTATTTAAGCGTAAGTTCTGCAATATTTCGGTCATCAATGTCTATGCTCCAATGTCTATACTCTGTCGGCAGATAATCGTGATAAAGATAAGTTATATGCGGAACTTCAACTGCTCACAAAGTCTCTACCAAAATATGACATGGTCGTAGTCAGGGGAGACTGGAATGCACGCGTAGGTCATAACGCTGCGATGACTTCTCATAACGATGACAATTGGCAAATATGGCATCGGAGACCGGCGCGCCAATGGGGAACGCTCTCTTCGTTATGCCGAAGAGCATGAACTTTTAATTATTAATACTTGCATCGTAAAAAACATCTAATCACCAACACTTCAACCAGATTAATTATATCTTAGTCAGTCATCGTTGGAAGAGTTCTGTACTAGATGGTCGTTCCTACAGCGGCGCTGAAACGGGCAATCTTCATGGATCTGACTATGTTATGGTTCGAGTCAAGATCCGCATAAAACTGACAACTTGCAACAACATCTCCAAAGATCCTTACTATCTCAAACTAAAAAATTCGGAGGCAGTGAGCGCATTTCAAATTGAATTATTGAAGCAATCTTAGTAATACAAATATCAATGACTTTTCTCGAACGGCAAATGAATACTTGTCCAAATTAAAGGAATGTCTCCGAAAGTCAGCTACTTCCACGCTAGGGCATACTAGTAAGAGGTGTGCTAGTTGGGTATCAAAAGCAATTGTCCAATTGTCTGAAAAAGCTGCCACAGCACGAATGTCAGGTGATCCTGACTACCGGGTGCTTCGAAGATTTGCAACGAAAGCAGCACAGCGGGACAGAAATTACTTTTGGAGTGACATGGCCTCAAGAATGGATTAGGCGATAATAGGAAACTATTCCGCCTTCTTCATAAAGCAACTATAAGGGAACGATCAATGAAATGGTAAGGGACAGCAATGGCGTGCCAGTCAAGAGTATTAAGGATCTCCTCATAAGATGGAAAGAATTCTTTGAAGCCAAAGGCCAAACTTAACCATGAAGCGCCATCTCCTGATATACGTTTGCTGAACCATATGCTTGCAACTGCGAGCCCCCGACAGAAGATAAAATAATATTTTGTTATCAATAAGCTTAAGTCCAATAAGGCTCCAGGAGAAGATGGTCTTCGGGATGAACTCTTTAAATATTATCCATCGTCCTTCATAACACCTTCAACAAATGGAAGACTATCTGGCACGGAAAAAAGAAATATTACCAGATGATTGGAGTAAAGCAATTCTGCTCGCAATTCTCAAAAAAGATGATAAGACATATTGCGACAATTATCGAGGAATTAGCCTACTAGACGTTTCAGGCAAAATTTTTGCTTCCCTTTCACTCAGCAGACTTATGGAAGTACAAGACAGCAGGATGCGCCCTAATCAAGCCGTATTCATACCGGGGTACGGTTGTTCTGACCAGATATTCACGTTAAGAAGGGTGTTGGAATATCGCTTCAGATATTTGCAACCCACTGTCAGGTGTTTCATCGACTTTGCGGCTACCTTTGATTCAATTGATAGAAAGGCGCTTTGAAGGGTGATGGAATGCGTCGGTGCTCCACAGAAGATCATTCGACTCATTTTATGAGCGTACGTCGGCGTGTATATGAGGAACTAACAGACTCCTTCGAAATAAGAACTGGTTTCCCCTACAATATTCAACTATGCGGTAGACTGTATAATGGACACTTTGGCACTTAAGAGGTGTCCAAATCAGTCCAGAGCATCGTGTCACAGATCTAGAATACGCTGATAATGTAGTCCTTTTTGCTAATAGTTATGGCGAAAGGCAAGTAATGCTAAATAACGTGTCAGAAACGCAAGAATAGGACTCAGGCTCAATGTATACAAGACGAAAGTTTTTTCGTCTTATGTACAAGAAGCTGATAAAATGCCTCTTTTTGTAAATTCATTGCCGGTCGAGGAATGCCCGATTTTAAATACCTTGGGTCCACTCTAATAATAGCCCGGATCACGGTTAGAAATGCGTTTTTCCGGTTGACGAAACCTTTACGCAGCCGTCGTGAAATTACATTAAAACCATTAAAACAAAAGTCTATATAGACGTGATTCGTTCGATCTTGCTATAAGACTCTACGACATGGCCAATGAGAGTGGAAGATATTAAGAAGCTATCTACCTTTGACCATTTTTGTCTAAGGTATATGTATATTTTACGGGTTCATCGAGCGGATAAAATATCATATGATCGCATCCATCTTCGTTCAAACACCAACTGTATTAATAATGTTATCACAGAGCATCGTCTTCGTTGGTTAGGGCACGTTTTCCGTCGTCCACCACAAGAGTTGTCGCATATTTCGTTACTTGCTAACCCGTGTGATGGATGGCATCAAGAGGTGGACCAATCAAGACCTGGACTGATAGGGTCAGGAAAGGTTTTGAACGTATAGGTGGACCAGCAATATATGGACTTAGACGATGGAAAAGAAAATGGCTTCTCTTACTGTCGACGATGGCATCAGACCGCGCCGTTTGGAAGCGCCTTACCCTTGTAGTCGTTGGAGCCAGCCTAACCAGTAATAATGAAAACTATTAGAAGAAGAAGAAATATGTCTTTTCTGGTTCAATTTTGTCTGATGGCTCGTCAAATTGGCCGAATAAATTTTGCTAGTGAGTTAGTCATTTGGCGATAGAAGCGCAGGTGGATTGCTCATCAGGTTTCCGAAAAATACATTTACTTCTGCGGGGAGCAGATTATCGGACAAACAAAATTGCTAATCCGAACGAAAGAACCAGCGTATTGAACCACTCTACTCCTGTGTTAGATGGTGTTTCCATTTTATCTGGCATGAATTTTAACATTTGATTGGGAAAGAAATAATGCAACATTATAAGAAAGAAAGAATATTAAGGTGGAAAGAGGATTTTGTAGAAATGTGCAACAATAAGATGTGATACAAATAGTCTTATGGAACTATAAAAATGAAGTAGATGAAAAAGAAGTAAGCGAGCACATTTTATCTGATAAGGTGGGAATATTTATTTATCAATTTTTTTTCTTGGATTATAATTGTTGCAAAAAATTGTGAGAATACTTAATTCGATTGGGCAGAGATTTTTTGTTCTAAGAGCGCTGGTTAGGGTTGCTGCGCTGCCTCGTCGTACCAGACAAATTTTAACATGGATTCACTTGGCTATAGATATATAGGTGAATCGCCAATATCTTTCTGATTTTTAGAGGTTTTCTCCAGCTGGACGTAGAACCTCAGCACTTCAAATTGAACTGACGAAGCGTGATGATGCGTCGGGCAAATTTAAATGTGAAGTGCTCTCGATTATCGATGATTTTTATCTTGCCATTAAACCATCGATCCATTAAAATTGTTGGACATTTTTAAATTTCTTCGACTTTTTCAAAATTCTTTTATATTTATATTGTTTATCAGTTTATCAGTCGATTTTTTTGTTATATAAATTGAATACTTTTTATTTTTAGTAATTTTCAGTAATAGAATGGTTGTTAAAGCTAAGAAATTTTCTTCAAAGCATGTTAAATTAGTTGGTGGTAAGAAGAAGAAGAAAAAGCAAACATTAAAATTCAATATTGAATGCAAAAATCCATGTGAAGATGGAATTATGAATATCAACGATTTCGTAAGTAATGAAATTTATTTGTATCTTTTGAAAGATCATTCAGATCATTTGCTTATCTATTGACTGTCGTGCTATGAGTGGTCACGTCAAGGCAATAAATGGGAGTGGTGAATGGTACAAGACGCCAAAATTACATATATTGTTTGAAGAATAACTGGTGGAAAAAATTACTAATATGCCCAACTGCCAAACTATTTTTTGACAGAAAATTTTAAATTTTCCAAAATTATCCTCATCATTGCTGATGTTATCAAACATTTAAGTGTTTCTAACAGTGGTCGATGAGGGAAATTAGATTTCTTCTTGCACATCCGATTTAAATCTTTCTTCTGATTGAGTCGGAACTACATGAAGAATACAAAAATGCACATTTTCTTATAATTTTGACGAAACATGGTGAAGAATGTTCTTGTTTTACACAGGTCTTAGTCTTTCGTTCTTTTAATGAAATCATAAATAGGCCTGTTATTCTATTATAGATGCTTTTCTTGAATGAACGCATCAAGGTTAACGGTAAAACAGGACAAATGACTGCAAATGGAGTATCAATTCAAGTGAACAAATCAAAAGTGACTCTAACTTCTGAGGTATTCCAGCAATACTTTTTGAGTAGTTTTACAAAATCTATTTTTTAAAGATTGGATTTGTCATATTTCACATCAAAAAAGGATAAAAAATTCGTTCTTTTCAACTTATTATTTGTTCTTTTTCGGTCATTTGCATATCTACATTAATTGAAAACTTTTTTTTTCAAATGAATGAATTTTTTTTCAGATACCATTTTCGAAACGTTATCTTAAATATTTGACAAAGAAATATTTGAAGAGAAACACTCTTCGAGATTGGTTAAGGGTTGTTGCTTCTAGCAAAGACACATATGAGCTAAGATATTTCCAGATTAACCAGGATGATGAGGATGCGAGTGAAAATGAATCATAAGTCGTAATTTGTTGTTCATTGTTATGATAAAATTTTATTAAATATCAAATTTATATCTGGTTCAGAAATAAAAATAAAAGCGCGAACCAAAAAGAAAAGGAATTACGTTCTGCATATTCATGAGCACTGGTACTTAAGTAATTGCAAAGCTCTTCACTGCAACACCTGGAGGAAAATTAATTTCAAGAATTTCTTTCGTTTTTATTCAGAGATTGGATTAGAGTTGGTGGAAATGACGGAAGTGCATAAATTCATAATAATAAAGTTAATCGCGGAAATAAAGGTCTGAGTTTGTTTTTTTTTTGGATGGACAATTGTTGAATGATTTACCTCGTGCAAATTGTGTATTCAAGTCCATATCCGTGAGAATCGCAACGCGGAATACATTGAACAGCACAATCTCTATTAATTCCAAGAAATATACCATTCAAGCTTGTTACCTGTGACTGAAAAAATCGCAATCTGAAGGGTTTTTATAATTGTAATTTCCATCTGGCTGCATTGGCTGATATGAGAACCATTTTCCAGGAGCACAACAAGGAGAAGTGTAATTTTCAGTTTTAATTTCAGTGATAGTTTTATTGTCTTCAAAGGAAAAGAATCGAATATATGGTGGCTTGAGCCATCATCTTAGCCCAGAGGATGTGTTAGGCGAATACTTGATATCTAGGTTTTTAGGTCATAATTACTAGCAGATATTTGTCTTTATGGGTTGTGACTGTGCTCTTGCTTTCCATTGAAGGCAAATTTTTTTCGTTGGAAATAGTGTTGTCAAAAATGTAAATTGTCGATCATAAATGAAACTCCTCGTAAAATACCCATATCAATATAGGAGCACCAGAAATGGTGCTACAAGAAAAATTGATCGGTCAGGAGATTGAGTCAGCTCTTCAAAAAATAATGAAAAGAACGTAAGTTATAGTCAATTTTAGTCGTCAAATTATATTTTGAAAAACAACTTTTCTTAAAATTTATAAAAATTCGATTTCGCTTGAATTTAAATTTGTCATTAAAATGCACTTTCGTGCTGCAGACTTATTTGCATTTCTATTTCCAGATGGTCCTCTGGTTAAAACAGCCAAACCTGATTTTATATTAATTTTAACATAAAATTATTTAAAAAACAGTCTGAAAAGTCCATTATATTTATTCAAATTCATGAAGTACCATGCAAAAATTTTCATCAACTGTACATTGTCGTCTCATATTAACTCGATTCTTCATTTTTTTCGCACTTAAACATAGCTGATTTCGAATATTTTCCTCTTTCTTCGCGTGGCGTATGTATGCACAATAAAAGCAATAATGTTTTTTACTTTCTTTTACAGGATAAATAGTTCCAGATTCATTGCTTATAGCATTTAGGATTAAATTTGTTATAAGTAATGAAATGGTAGTATATAATCTCATTCAATGATCACCTTAAAAAGATTTTTTATGAATAGTTGTGGTATAATAATAATATTTTTAAATAATAATATAATAATAATATAATAATATTTTTATGAAAGTGATAGTTCAAAAAACTTTATAAATACTTCTCTAGTGATGAGGATCTCATCTATAGTTCTACCCTCAAGTTTTTCTTCGGTGGAGGAATTCCATTCTATAAATGGAGTAATGGTTAGTGCAGGAGATATTGCCTTTTACTGAATTTTTATAATAAATTACTGCTACTGCAACAATAAAAATAATGAGACAGATTACAAGGTAAATGACAACCACAGAATCATTCGTTAATATGTATTAGCAAAAGGAATGAAGAAAACAATCACATAGCAAAAGTAGTGGTCCTCTCAATTAGCGATGAAAATGCAAAGAGGATCGAGGAAAAATTGGCTATTTCCTTAAAAATTTAAAAAATTTATGATTAGGATTGAAGTTTGCTCTCCACAACCAACAATTCTCGGCAATTGCTCTCCAGCTGCTTCCAATTGCTCAATGCCAATTATAAAATCATTAAAAAATTTTTTGCTTCAGCTCTTTCTTTTGTCTTCTATCCGATATTTAAGCCTGGCGGAACCTGTTACAAGGATTGTTAAAAAGGATTAAATATGCAGTACCAATCTGGCTTTAACGTTTAAACGTTTGGAATAAGTTTTCCATGAGAGCTGCAGCGCCGAAAACTTGGGTAAATTATTTGCAAGATTTCTTTAACTCATTCTAAAAAATTATTGTGCCATTTATTTTACATAACATTACTTCATATTTCGCGTCATTTCCATACGAGTCTTTTGTGCTTTAACTAACTTTTCCCAGGCATCTTATTAACTAGTAGTTAAAAGATGGCTTTTGCAATGACTTCTTTGCACGCCGCATGGTCAACATGGTCGAAGCAATTTCCTTTTTCACTTCCCGGCACTACCGAGAATTCGCTTCTCGACGATAATATTCGATAATATTCTTAAGAAAATCTTTATTTATAAATCTTTTTTTAAACAAAGGAATTGGAAAAAGAAATACGCCGTTCACATCGCACCGTATAAAATTTCATGAAACATAAGTAATGAGTATATTAATAACAATAAAAAAATTAGTTACAAATGTTTTCGTTTAAATTTCAGTAATGCAATAATTAATCATTAACAGTTAAAAAAATATATAACCATCTTTAATATCCATTCTGCTAAACATGAAACATGAAACAGTTTCTGCTGCGCTCAACATTGAATCTTAGAATATGAACAAAAGTAAAATGCACAATGGGAAGTAGAACGGTCGAGTGGCACCGTTGCTTTTTGAGGACCAAAGTCAACCCTAATGTGCGGAATTCGACTCCTGCCTCTTGAAAAGCTTCACAGATATAAACCACTTACCATGGAGTATGGGTAGTGATGATGAACAATTTATATTTGAAAAAATTCGATCAAATTGATGCCAGTATAAAAGTTTAACTTAGCCGATAAGGAATGCTAATTACTTGAATATTATACCCAATACTGATTTTCTCTCAGTCTTGTGGTCCGCATTTTTTCAACGCGAGTTTTTGCATTTTCAGTTGCTTTATTAAATGGTTCATAATCAAGTGAACTTCCATGCAGTCGGTCTGAACGTTGCACCAAAGGTGATGAGGGTAATGGTGGTGGTTTAACACGGCATTGAGGTGATTCGAACGTTTGTAATGGTCGCATTCGTTGACTGTTGTTTAACTCAAGACGATTGCGCTTAACTGTTGCGTAAACCTTAATTCGTTATAAAAAAATTATTACCATTAAAAGAAAGTTCAACATGTTTAAAAATGCTCAGTCTTCAAGGAAACTAAAAATCCATCTCCATAAATATTTTTTATCTGATTAAAAGAAGTTGATTTTCATATAAATTCTCTTTCTCACCTATTATGGTGGAATGCATTACCCTCAACCACGAACCATCCACTTAGAAGACCGAGGTTAGGCAGATAAATTTTCAGAGGGTCTTGCCCAACGATTCTGTGGGAAAGGTAGATACTTTGGCTGCTACAACTGGCTAAGCTGATAATTTCCTACCACGCATTAACCATCCAAATTTTCAGAGCTTTTAAATTTTTTTTTTTTTTTCAAAAGTAAATAACTGTTGAATCCAATAGATCGGGTTGTTCTTCAATAACTGAATCCAATTTCGCATTGAAGTTGCGTTTTTTATCCTCTTCACCAGCTTTTTTCCGCTTGCGCTTATTATTATGCTTGCAACATATCAAAATAAACACAGTTAGTGATAATATAATGAGCAAAACCAAGATAGGCAACTGATAACCAACTGATGATATACCATTGGCCACCATAGGAACTTCTGGTATTGTTGGTGTAATTGATCTACTTGCAGGTGAAACCGTATGATGCCTATTTGCTGGGCGTATTAGTATATCAAATCTAAATGAATTTGGTTTTTAAGATTAGTTTTAATTTTGATTTTAAGGCTTTCATATGGTATTAGCACTCTGGTAAAAAAAAAAAAGATAAAATCTTAATTCCATTAAATATTTTGCTAACTGCAAAATTATATTTGAAAAAGCAGCAAGAAAGAAACCTAAATCTAGCTGGTTGGATTCCATCAGCATCTAACTGTAACTCGACTGAATCTGCTAATTCTTCACCACTATCTGTAGCATAATATGCTAAACGTCTGCTGTTGATATCAGCAAACGTAAAAAAAAAAACTGAACCATTAAAGTTACCATCTAACAAGAGACGACCATAGCTAGGTGCAGTTATAACCAAAAAGCGAGGCGACATTCCCTTAATTAAATTTGTAAAATTAATTGAATAAAAAAATGATATAAAAAATTTTTTCATATTTAAGTGTTTCAAAAATGTTCTGAATTTTATTTATTCCTAAAAATTATAAAATAAAATAATATTTTATTTTATATTGAAAAAATTCAGTTCCCTATATAATAATCGAAATTTTTTTTCTGAGAGCACACCATTGCTGGTTATGATTGTTCCACTGGTTTTGTTGGACGAGACAAATTTTCCGCCGATAGAAGTACAGATGAATTACCAGCATCACCCGGATTTTTGAAAGAGCTTTATTTATACCTGGAGCAAGACCCCAGCACTGGCACACTTAAACGAAGGTAACAATCCACCGAGCCATTAAATCTTTTTGTTTTCGCCGTTCGGCATGATGAAGCTCCATCCAGAGGGCCAGATTCACTCTCGATAGCAATCATCTTCTCACTAAGCATTTAAAAATATTTATGAATAAAAACGAAAATATTTGAGGAAACACCTCCAGTTTTGAAGCATTCAAGTGCAAAGCTGTGATAATTTCTTGACTACCAGATTCTACGACCAATTTTTGCGATTTCACTGCTGGTAGAACTACAACTCGAGAACTGCTGCGTATTACGCCATTTTGATCGTTGCCTAGCGCGAATTCGAACGAATCCTAAGATTTGAATTAGTTTCTGGATATACTGCATAGTATTGACTCCAAATAAAGCTTTAATCTTATGTTGTCCATTGATTAATCTAAAGAAATACTTTCTGCTTTCTATATATTTTCTCAACTAATGAAATCATAAGAAACATTGTCGAGAATCCGATCTTCAAATTACTTTATTATTAATGATTACTTGATATGCTTCCATGTTTATTTGTGCGTACAAAACGCGTTCATTATCAATATCTTTTTGAGTGAATGATCGTGTTTCCATCTCACCAGCGACCCAGTAAAAGGTACCATTTTCTGGTGGTTTAGTTATATTGTAGACTATTCGTGAACGGTCACCATTAGAATATGCACCGAAATGAGATCTCCAACAGTATAAATATAATAATAAGCTTTTTAATAGTTTAAAAAATTTATATATTATAAACATATATATTAGTAATTTCATTTACAAATAAATAATTTTAGGCTGTAATTTTCTGAGAGATTCAATTTTTACCTATATTATTTTCGGCAAATTTGTTGTCAAATTTTTAGACAAAAAGTTTGGTTAAAAAAACCTATCTAAAACGGTGTACAATCTTCCTTGAACATAGGTTATATCAGAGTGATTGATCAATGATAACGATAATGGATGTATGTCAACGATTATAGCTCGCACATGATCACTGATCTGTGATTACAATGCCTTCAGACATGGTCGAATATTTTTTTTTTTTTATCAATCACTATTGCCATTAATTATTAGTTTTGACATGTAGAAAGAAAGACACAATTGCTATATTAATGAATTGTTCGAAATCATATAAGCTTACTTGCATGACGAGAACATCAATTGGGTCCTCCGAATCAAATCGTTGCTTATGACGAATACTCACTCGTGCTTTGTTTAAATCGCCTTGATTGAAGTCTCTGATCTTTTCATCAGCCATTATTAGTTCAACACCATTACTTCCATCCTTTAAATGATATCAAATTTATATCATATCGCGGAAAACCAGAAAAATCTGGATAACTTAATAAAAGAGAAATGCTGGACAGTTGAGTGGCATGTAACTTCGACCAGAGTTTAAGCATCACCATTATCCTTTGGAAGAAGCAAAAGCAAAAATAAAACCAGGATCATACCCTACATCTATGCTGTACCTATTCGTCTATCCCCATGTGAATTGCTCTTTATTCTAAATCATTGAGGCTAGAAACGGTATATAGTATTCGAAAAAAGTAAATCAATTAAAAAATAAATGAAAATAATGGTAATAATGGAAAATCGTCTTCTAATCCGAAAAATCTATTGAAATTTTTTAATTCAAACATAGAGAAAAAGCCTATTAGGAATAAAAATTTGACTTTTTGCGCAAATTTTTACAATAATTAAACAAATAAAGTATAAATGTATCGATGTAAATAAATGTAGAATAAATGGACGCTCTTATTGCTTCTGTTTAAGCTTGCTCCACTAAATGTTTGTAGACGACTTTTTTTTTGTCAAAAAGCCACTTAGAGATGGAAGTACAATACAACAAATTTTGCCTGAAGCAGACGATAAACTATCGCTGATGGTTGCAAATGTGGATGATTAACTTGAAATAACTTTGGATTCAACTGAGTCTCTCCTCCACTAACTACTTTTAACCTTTCAGGCATCGACACAACCTGAAAAATGAATAAATAGAAGTTTTATGCATGTTGAATCCAGTGTTAAAAAAATGAGATTAATCTGAAACTTCTGGGAAATTATTACCTGTAAAAAAGGATCGCTAATAGGTTTGAAGACAATAGAAATCGGAATGCGCATGCGGCTAGTTCGTTTATTTGTTTCATAAGGATATAAATGAAATAAGAGATCATCGCTTTGTGCTTCTGCATCTTTCCATTGTCGGTAAATCAGCCTTCGACCTGTTATCAAAGCTGAAGCTTTTAACGCAGAACCGTTCATTTGCGCCGTAAAATCAAGAGATCCACAGCGAGGTTGGCGAGCAATTTCGATTATTAAGCTATCATTACAAAGCGAATTCAATTTAGTTAAGTTGATATAAGATTCATTGATCGCAATACTACTACCTACAACTTTTACTTTTTATTTAAAAAATTTACTTATTTTTCTTTTTTTATTGTTAGCACGAATATTTTTATGAAGAATATTTTTATTTTTATTATGCTTCTGCAAAATTTTGTTGTTTTAGAAAGCAGTGATAATTTAACATTTCTTAAAGAAATACTGATAAACACTTGTTACTACATCTCACATTCCAAATCTATTATAGTAACTTGCGAGTGCACAGTGTTGTAATGCATTCTACTCAAATTAATATGCAATAAATATTTAAGCACCTCTTCCAATTATTATATTTTGAAGTGGAACGTAATGAGATATCCGATTAGCTGGTAACGCAGCATATGTTATAGAGATTCGAAAACGATATTCTTCAACAATTGGTTTTGTTGAGCCATTACAGGATACTACAAATTGAAACCAATCTTTATTTACCCATCCTTGCATCGTGCTATTTAATGGCTTATACGTGATGAACCTATTGTTGATATCACCTTGGCTAAATCTTTGTACAAGTTGTCCTGAACGCAAAATCGTTCCCAATTTTGGCAATTTCGATATTGAGAAATAAGTGTTTTCTGGCGAAATCTAAAAAAATAGAATGATTCTAATTATTACAAAAGATTTTATAAATGATGCGGAAAACAACAACAAACGTCAGGAATATTTGCCCTGAGAAGATCCATTCCTATAACTGATGGAACATTTCCTGGTGGTACAATAAGCCGAGCATTTGCCTCAAGTGCCACTGATACTATTCGAGAACTCTCCACTGTGAACCATTCAGGTCCGACTTGATGTAATCCATCACTGAGAAGAAATGAAAAACCACCGGCAGATGTTGAATCTGAAAAAATTCAATAGCGGCATCATTGTAGAAATAATAAGCAAACATCAAAAAACTTCTCCACTTAATATCGTGAAAGTAAAGCAGAATTATGAAATATTTAAAAAGAAAAAAAAAAACTACTTTCTGCAAAGAGGATAATTACAAGAGGAAAGGGCTAATATGACACCAATTAACTGGGTGACTGTCGATAAACCAGTCATTACCATAAATGACCAGATAAATTCTGCTCTTTCACAAGATCAGATCCACTCTGATGGCATGGACTGGCAAAGGTAGTGGGAAGAAAAAAGGTAGACTAGAGATGAGTGGGAGTGGGAGGGAGATCATTTTACTTTTTTAGGCCATTATCAAACATTTTATTAATTTTATGCGACAATATTTTCGATTTATTATTTAGATTTAAATTAGCAAAGTTTGAGGTTATTAATCAATTTGTAGCGGTTAATAAAATTATTTTTTACAAACATTGCTGCGTCGTATTGATCTTTTATATAAAATAAATAAAATGTATAAAAGTGAAATCAAAAAAATCATCATTTTACTCCATGAAATTTGAAGAACTATTTCGGAAAAAAACTTACTTAAAGTTTTAACGAATATGATTTCGGAATTATTAATTTCGGCTTGTGAAAAATTATGTATAGCTTTGCCTGCTTGATCTGCTCGAGCGACATAACCATTAATTGGTTTGCTGATAATATAATGCAGTTGTTCAGGTGGTGTATCGTCGTCCTCAATTTATCAAATTCAGCACGAAATTTAATGCCAATATTTTATTTTATTACATAACTTGTGGATTACAATTAGTGAATTTTCTATGAATCCCTATAGAGCCTTTCACCATTTCGTGGATTCTTACATTAGTTTTATTTTTCGTATATCCTATTATTTTTTAAACTTATATTCAGTTCGATCTGTACTTTTCAAAACAAATGATTATTATCAGATCATTTTTACCATCGACTTCTATCCCCATTAGTAGTAAACAGTAGTAGTAACAAATAATTCTGAAGTTGAAAAATTCGAATGAAATTAGGATATCCATTTGTACTTTTACCCGTAGTCAGCCTCTGGCAAAATTATATTATCCACTAATATTTAAAGAACGAACCAGATGTACTAACTATTAATTACTTAATATTAAAGCATCGAAACGACCATACATATGTGTATAGATACTGCTTTGTGATTCGTGCAACATTCGAATTCCATATCTTCATAACCTCATTACGAATAAGCTCTGGCTCTAAAATTAACTTAGAAATCCTGTCTGAATCTGCAGTACTTTAATTAATGATAATTTAATTTGAAAAAGAAAAGAAATACAAAATTGATGGATGATAATGCAGAAAACTTTGCAAGATCGGGTAAATAGGAAGCATACATCATTGGATTTACAATGGTACCACAAATATTGAATTATTACCATGTACGTTTCTTTTTTTTATTGCAGCATATATTCTCTTGGGATGTGAACATTGTTGTGCATCTGGGCAAGCAACCAGTGAGAAGGAATCTCTTTCGAGATTTGAGAGTGGATTGCTTACATAAAAGATACGATGATCGTCAAGCTCCTTGGTAGTAAATTGGTCGATTGATGTGATATTATTAAGGTCCCACATATCTCGAATAATCCAACCTGCTTTCGGTTGCGAAACAATTTTTAATTTCAATTCTTTGCCTTGCGATGTAGATTCTCTAATAATTCCTTTACTGAGAACCAAACTGTCACCAATTTTTAATGAAATGTTGGCAATCGCGAAATTCATCTGGAAATTAAAAAATAATTTTATTAAACTTTGTTCCACTAAATTACTAACCGAATCGTCGAGTGCCATTTCGCCTTGATCAAGCTCGAGCTCTGTGGGCATTGAGCCATTCACATTGCTTCTTCTTCTAACAACTCCCACCATTACTGGTTAAGTTTGCTCCGCTGGCTACAAGGGTAGGTTTCCAAGTTAAAAATACCATCTTTGATAACAATAGAAACCATTCCTTTTTCTATCATCTAAATCTATATATTGCTGATCCACCTATACGTTCAAAATCTTTCCAGACCGTGTCAGTCCAGGTCTTGATTGGAGCACCACGCTTTTGATGCCACCCGTCACGGGCTTTAGCAAATAACGAAATATCTCTCTACTCCTGTGCTAGGCGACGAAGGATGTGCCTAACCAGCGAAAACGACGCTCTCTGATGGTTAATAGTTAATATAGATATCTGAGCGAAGATGGATGTAATCATGTGAAATTTTATCCGCTCGATAGAGCCGTAGGATATGATCAAAGATATGGTCATTGGCCATATCTCATAGCAATATAGCAAGATCGAGCGAACTGCAATTATATGGACGCGGATTTATCTTTACGGTGATTTCGCGATGGCTCCATAAAGGTTTTGTTATTCGGAAGAATGTATTTCTAGCTACCGTTATCAGGGTGATAATTTCGTCTTTTGCTTGGCCATTGGGATTAGAGTGGATCCAAGGTATTTAAAATTAGGCACTTTCTCAACCGGCAATGAATTTATAGAAAGAGGCATTTTATCATCTTCTTGTATTCGAGAGCCGATTCTCGTTGTTGACATATTATTTAGCATCATTTACATTCATAACTGTCAGCATCACCAGCATATTCGAGATCCTTGATATTATATTCTGGACTGATTTGCACACATAATGAATGCCGACAAACGATGTTTATTATCCAGTCCATTGTATAGTTGAATATTGTAGAGGGAAAGCATACAGCCTTAACGGACACCAATTCTTTTTTCGAAAGGGTCTGCCCATATAAGACCTGTGCCGACGTACGCTGAAAAAAATACCCTTAGTCAATGATCTTGTCTAGAACACCATCGCGTTCCATCATCCTCCAAAGCGGTGTTTTATCAATTGAATCGAAGGCAGCCGCAGAGTCGATGAATAAACACAAATGGGTGAATTTCAGATCTTTAAAGCGATCTTCCAACATTTTTTCTGAATATGAATATCCTTATCATAATCCAGCTTGATTAGAGCTCATCCTGCTGTCTCATGGTGCCATAAGCCTATTCAGGAGGAGGGAAATTTTTCCGGAGATATTTAAGTAAGCTGTTTCCTCGATAATTATCACAGTGTGTCCTGTCATTTTTCTTAGGAATTGGGAACAGAATTGCTTTGTTCCAGTTATTTGGTCTTATTTCTTTCTCTCATGCCAGAGAGTATATTTGTTGAAGGTGTGAAGAATATTTGAAATGTTCGGCTCAAAAGCCATCTTCTCCGGGAATTTTATTGGTCTTAAGCTTCTAGACGACAGAGATTATTTCCTCTTCTGTTGACAGTTGCAAAGGACTCGAGAAGCTAATCAGCTATTTCCACGGCAAAAAATGGCGCATCGTGGTCAAGTTTGGTCTCAATGAATCCTTTCCATTTTGCAAGACGATCCTAAATGGTCTTAACAGGCACGCAATTGCTATACTTTATCATTTCACTGACTGTCCCGAGTTAATTACTTTGAATAGTTTCCTTTTATCGCCTAATCCAGCCACCGTCTCCATTTAAAAGGCCATATCATTCCAGCGATTTCTATCATTCCGTGCTGCTACCGTTGTAATTCGAAGCATTCGATAGTTAGGACCCTGACATTAGTGTTTTGCAGGAGAGTTGGTTCTGATACTAATTGGCACATCCTATTAGTATATCTTAGTATTGAAATGGCTGATTTTCGGTGACATGCCTTTATTTGGTACCAGTACTGCCAGTACCAGTATGTTGGGACCGGTCTTTTCGGAGATTTCATTAATATTGATTTCACTGAGATGCATCAATAATTCCATTTGAAATACGATTATTGTCACCGAATCTTTAGTACACGATAATTGAAAAGACTTGAGGGACTTGGTTGTTTCTTGCAAGTTATCAGTTTTTGCGAATTATTTAGTCCGTTTTAATCCGTTTTAGTTCGAATCATAGCGGTCTGTGATCCATGAATGCTACCAATTTCAGTGCTGCAAGAAGAACGGTTATACTCTTCCAACAGCGACTGACAGATATAATCAATCAATCAATTTGATTGGAGTGTTGGTTATCCGGAGAGTTCCTCTTTACTTATCTTCTCTTATGCCGAAAGCATATATCAGTAACAAAAATTTCATGCTTGTTAGCAAAATGAAGAAAACGTTCTCCATTGGCACAGTGGACCACAATGCCATATTTACCAACTAGCGGATTCGTTGTGGCATCATATCGCTTGGAGATAAGTCTGCCATTGAAAGTTTCGCCTTTGTTTTTTTTTTTTATTTCGTGAGGATGCACCTATAATTTATCTCCAAGTGATTATCTGCTGAAAAGTCCTCTTCCTGATAGTCAACGGAGCCAAACTCCCTTGTTAAAATGCTATTAGACAATGGTAATTGCATTTAATTTAATTAATCTGGAATTTTCATATATTTATGTAAATTTATAAAAGTCACCTCATTATCGACGATATTAATAAACAATGTGTATGGGCCAATAGTTTCACCACTCACCGACACATTAAAGATGATAGAATCTCTTGACTGCACATTACCGTTATGCAGATATTGCAATTGGCCAGCGTTGATATGCGCTTGAGTGAAACGCGAAATAAAAAATTTACTTGGCATTATGGCATTACCATCAGCACTTACTGGAAACATTAACAAAAATCATTGTTATTCATTATATCATTATAAAAACATTAACAAATATCATTATTTTCACACAAGAAAGCTGCATTTAAATTTTAAGTTAAAAATTGCTTTATAATACCTTTAACTGATTCGAGGATTAATGAACCACTGTTTGGTTGCTTTAAAACATCATAAATAATTTCAGATGGCGTTTTACCAGGAGCGGATGCAAATAAAATGTTCTTATCAATTTGTGATAAAGAAGAAATTGGTACAACAAGAACAGATAAAGTTCGCATTTCAATTGAGCTTCGACGTAATGATTGCTGTCTCAGTTTTCGAAAGGCAACGGTATCTATCTGTTTGTCAACTTGTACCGAAATTTGCTCATCGGTTAAATCAGAAACCAATGAACGATAGAAAATCTTACCATCATTAATGTCCTAAAATATTTAACCGCCAATTAGCCAGTGCCAGTCATTTTCATGATCTAACAGTGTGATCTACGATGTAAGTTCAAGCCAAGAATAATTATTATCAATTTGTAACAAATTAGTATAAAAATATTATTCTGGCTAAAATATATATTAATGATATACATTAATAAACATTTACACTTTTCTTATATCGACTTAGTTTAATGGAAGAAAAAACCTTAAAAAATTAATGGAAATTAAGGAAAAACTGACTTTCTGTGTGAAATTTTTTGCGATAAATTCCGATGAATTATGCATAATAAGAAAATTCTGAGAATGTGTGACGAAAAAAACTATGTCTGCTGGGCCTACATCAAAGTTCGTGATGGCTGACAAATTTTGGTTTGTAAGTGTTAAAAGTAAGTCAGTTTCAGATGGTGGAAGATAAACGTGATGGTTTTCGAAACGGATAAATGGTTCGGAAGCTATAACAGTAAGAACAGAAGGCACATCATGTACGCCATCGGAGACCGTGTAACTAAAAAATAATCAAAACATTCTCCATATCTTTTCCTACAAATTTTCTTTTTTTATGCTAGTTTATCAAAAACATGCAAAAATATTCGCTCGGCCTTCACTGGTAAATTAATTTTCAAATTGAAATATATTTTGATATTTAAGAAAGAAAGTTTGATCTACATTGAAGAAATTGAAGAAATTAATTAATTGAATTGAATTGAAAAAAATAGCACTTACGACATTTGGAAGTGTTTTGAATGGCCTAAATGCCTAATCATAATTTCTTCATTTTTCATGTCTTGTTGAGTGAAATTACGGATGTGGATATTTGGAGAAACTCTCGATAAAATGGCTGCATTTCGGAAACCATCATGAAAAATAAATCGTAGTGGTTGTGTATCAATGTCATCATCTTTCCATGGCAATAAAGATTCGCGCAAAATGCGGTCACCTCGGTCGATTATCTGCGAGAATGTCGATTATGGCGAATTTAATCAACTTATAAAATATGGATTATTTGACGGTATTTCTCTGAAGCGAAAATTATTATGAATTCTGGTTTCGTAATTTTACTTGAAGTTCGTTTTTTCCAACAAGTCTCGGTGTATTATCGTTCTTTAGAATCATCCTCATTGTTAGCCAAAAGGGTATACGACTTGTGTGTCGATGAACACTTTCTGCTACCAAATAGACTCGATCTACGCGTGATTCTACGCCCAGATGTTCATACCAAACTCTCAAATTATTTGAACAATTCACGATCAATTACCGCCTATTCATTAAGGAATTAAGGAATCATTAGCGACATTGATGTGAGTAAATGATAAAGAACTACAGTATAACGAAAAATAGAAGCATAAGTTTTCTAACAAAATTTCAACAGCCATATACAATACCTTCCCTTGTTGATATCTTGCGTGGTAAAATTTTCACCCATCGACAAGATAAACTTCGCTCCAAGCGGATGACTTAGGACTATATTGCCAAAAAGTGGTGGAATGCCGATTGTAAACATAAAATTATTATCATCTGGTGTTTCAAGTGACAGCGATTCGTTCGTAATCTGTAGTTCAAAATTTCAATTATGAAGAAATAATCGCATTAGATTTTCTTAAATTTTCTTTCAGTAATAATTAGATCTGAATGAATTTTTTGTACCTTTTGCATAGCACCTTCGTCGACAACGATAGTCCTATTGATCAGCTGGACGGCGCCCGAACCAGGTATAAATGTTATTTCGAATCGTGTTGCTTCTGAAGCAACAGATGGTGTGATGACTCGAAATATAAAAAAATCATTGACGATTGAATACTGTATGAAATGCAATTTGTAAAAAATGACCGCTTCATTGATGTGCTGAAAAAGAACGAGATTTTGCAAGAAAAAACTTGTTTAAGAAAAATCTTCAATTCCTATAAATTTCGATCCTGAATTTTTCATTTCGTATTTTGGCCAGTTGGGATCTATTGCTTACTATTATTTCATTTGCACTAATTCGGTAATTTACTTGCTAGTAAAGTAAATCTTTTATCAGAAAATTCATGTGGCGTGGTGCTGAGGATCTACTTCATTCCTAAGTTAAGTCACGTCTGTCTAATGATGAGTGCAAAGCACTAATTATTTAACCAATTCAATAAATTCGTTTTACGTTCGGAGAATTTTCCTTTTAATTTCTTCAGTTATTCTGCTAGCCAAAAGAAATTTTTTGTTATTTGTCTAGTACTTATTGTCACTACGAATGGTTTACTAGTACGAGTGGAAATAGTCTAATGAGGAAATGAGAATTCATAGGAGATACATATGCACCTTATTTTCCTACTTGAATCCATATAGGCAGTGGTTAAACATAGAATCGTAACTTCTGCACAGTAATAGAATTCAAACCTGTTGCGTAAAATTTGATGATACACCGATACGCCGATTACGCGTTTCTGAGATTCGACGAGAAAGTAAGCCAAATTTCGGCGGTTCAATTACGTGGAAAATAAGATTTTGAGGAGAGTAGCTTTTAGGAAATGTCCAAGCAAAAAGGTGCAAACGACGAAGAGTTAGCTGATCGGTACTATTGAGCAAGAAAGGTGCCCGATTGAAAATTTTTACATGAACAGGTATGAATGAAATTTTAAAAAAGTGAACTATTGAACTACTACTACCTGCACGCACCTGTAATGATAAAATTGAGTAAGAAATATAATAATATCATATTATTGTTGTATAATATTATATAATATTATTGTTATTAAATGTCGAGATTTGAATTTTCTATTATTTAATTAATATTTGTCTTGTAAATATTGTCGCCTTTGGAGCCAATTAACCTTTATTTTGAATTTTTAAATTTGCTTCCATAACTTTTTTACATTTCTTCACTTGTTTAGGCCCAAATTTTCTTTAAATATTTTATTTTGAATTTTCATTTTTTCATTATTTTTTAATTCTTTTCCAAGTTTTAATATTGGTCTAGTAAGTCCCTCTTTTTTGAGAGGTTTTCATTAATTTTATGTTGCAGCATTTATAAGTTTATCACCATAACTTTTTTATTTTTTTTATTGGTTTAATTAGCCAAGTTTGATTGGCCAATAAAGCATTCATTGTCACGGTTCATGGTTACAATTCATTAAATATTGCTATTGCTATATACCCATAAGATTATATACCCATAAGATTCAATTGATTGAAGTGGAAATGGTGGCGCACGAGCATCAACCAAATTAATAAATCAATTCAGTATTATTTATTTATAATTAAGCAATATACTATAAGGCAATATGTATAATATGTATGCCAGTTTAAATTGCAAATTCTTTGGAGTTTTCGAGTAAAAAATCCTTGGGATTCCGGGATTTTTCAGGAATTTGTAGGAAAATTAAGCGAAGGAGAAAGGTTGTTTAAAAAAAGCTGATTTGATTGATTAAAAATTAAGCAGATTAGTGGAAATGATTAAAAAATAAAATATTGCAAATGAAGGATTTCACCTGGAAACTGAAAGAATCAACAGGAGGATTGAGCTGACTGGTATGACGATATCTAATTCGTGACTGTTCGATGTCGTTTTGCATAAAAGATGAACATATCTGGTACTGACCGACATCATCACAACATTCTACCAATCCGTATTCAGGTAGATCAACTATCATATATTGCAATGGTAAATCAGGGAGATTTGTGGTAAAAGATAAATTTGCCGGCAAAATAGTCTCCGAGGACTGATGCATCACTTTCACTCCTCAATTGAGCATGGTTGATAAAAAGAATTAATTGTGATAAAAAACTTTCAGGATTTAAAAAAGTGATGTTTAACGATTTAAGAATAGGATAGGATAATTGTTTCGATCAACGGATCGTGGATTCGATTTCTGTTTTTCGGCCGAAGTAGGTCTATACTTTTATTCAAATATGACTCTTTGAAGAGGACCCATTCTAATAACTAGGAAAGGCAGCCAAACCATAAATGGTTAGCGATGTTAAAAGGAAAAGAATGATTTAAATATAAAATAAAAGTCGCTTAAGAAAATAGAGATTATCCTAGCCAAAAATGATTTTAGATCAATATTTACTGGAAATAAATTTAAAAAAAAAAATGTATCAAAAATAAATTACCAGTATTGCTTTTTAAATGAATTTCAATGGGAACTGTTATGACAGATATTAAAAGTGGTGATGACTGTTTCTCACCATCATTTGCAATCAAATGAATTTCACCACGATCTTCTCCCGTGTTCACTAAGTGAATCTGAAACCTCCTTAAAATGTAGCACAAAAACTGCGATTTATTTTCAAACCTTTATGTGGGTATTAAGTGACTGTAAATTTTTTTCTCCGCAATTTTCTAAATATTCCTTAACACCAATATTAAATTTCAGGCTATGGATTTTAATTTCTATACTTTATTATTGATGAAATCTTGCTGTGAAAATTGAGTAATATTATGGCCTGCTGCTTGCAAAATTACACCATTTGCTGACACGATATCCACACGTACAATATCAGAATCAGTGTCTGAGTCCCATAAATTCATAAATCGAGTATCTAACAAAAGCCTGCAATTGCGATATTTAATTCGCTAACAACTGCTTTATGCCGAAGATACTGCAAATAGATAATAAAATAAATAGATAGAAGTAAAAGTAAATAGAAATACTTTGCTTTAGGCGCCATTCTTATAACCAGTCCTTCAGATCCTTTTCGCAGCTCTGGAGCATCATTTATCGGATTAATTCGTACTGGAATTGTATAAATTGCATTCGTCAGGATCGGTAGAGGGATTGATTTTGGCCTTATATTTGCCTAAACTTTCCATGATATCAGCTAAAGAAGAGTTTTTCTATTCCTTAAAAGATAAATATTAATTAGCAAGAAATAATTCACTTAAAGATTTCATCAATCCAGAAATGTTTACTTGTAACTCGATGGCATCTTCACTTGTTTCACTACCGTCATGTGAATAATTCACATGAAGCAAGAGTAAGTCTTGATATGTAAAATCGTTTTCTGGTTTGCCCCGCACCAATACTGATCCATGTTGAGGAATTCCAACTATCCTAATATGCGATTTGTCAAAAACAAATGCAGTAAGATTTATTTTGAGATTGGTATTGGTAACTGGAAACAACCAACCTGAGAGTAATATCATCATTTGAGATTCCAAATCTGGAATGTTGAGGAAAAATATAAATATTTTTCCATTGTAGAAAAGCTGAAGCACCCTCATCAACTTGCAAGATTTCTGCGACATAAAGTGGTTCGATTGTAACTGGTAAATCATCGTTTGATGATTGTTCTAATGAGCTACCGTCACTAAAATTCACGTTATTTACTAAATCAAAAAAACTAGAACTACAAATAATTTATGAAAAAGGAGACATAAATTATCAAAGTATTACAATAATAATATAATAATGATAATGATAATAAATAACAATAAGAATAATAAAATCACATAAATACAATAATAAACAATGACAATGATAAACAAGAGAAAATGATAGATCAACTATTTCTGAAAAATATTTTTCGTCGAAATTATCGTCATAATTGATGAATTGATGAAATCATTAAGTAAATTATTTCTTGCTTATTTAATCTTGCTTTTTTAAGAAAAATGCTGCTTTAGGGGATAAAGACATATGTAGGTTTCCCGCAAATACTTGTATTTCACTTTTAGATTTAGATTTACTCTCTCGTCGAGAGACGGGATTCGCATATATCAATATTGGTTGATTTTCTGTTTTTTTCCCTTCCTTAACGAAAAAAGTTTTAATGAAACTTTATTACAAATCTATCTCTTTTCTAGCAAGTGCCTGTAAGACATACCTGCACCATTTGTTGAGAAGGTTATCGCCCCCGAATTTTATATTTTCAATACAAATGAACAATTTGTCTCGATCAGAACCAGAACCAATTAGCAATTCTGAAATTAAATTATCAAAAAGAATGTTGAAAGATGTCGAACGAATAATTTTATCCAAACGAAACAGCGCATTACATGGATTAATAAAATCATTAAGTCCTTAATAATAAATCTTTTCACAGTGAAATTGTTTTGGACTGTAATTTTTGACTCATTTAGCGCTAAACACTACCGAAAAATTCGAAATAAATTATTCTTGTCCTGTTGTAGCTTGAAACCTTTTCAGAATCAGTTAGGCACAGAAGCGTCGGTAGGTCCTTAGCACCATTGGTGCAATTGCAATTTAAGAGTCGAGGCAGTCGAGGTTTTTAAATATTAGAATTCCAGTTTTATGAAATATTTTCAAGCAACAATTTTTTTATCAATTTAGCTTCAAAAGGTTTATGAAATTTTTTAGGAAAATATTGTAAAAATTCGTTTTCTTCATCGAATTGGCTTATCAGCTGTTATTTAAACAGACAAAACATTAGCTTCTTTAAACGACTATTTATCCAAACATCTTAATGATTGTTTATATTCGATGAATATACTAAATAATTTTTTTCATCGCCTATCTGTTGTAGTATATCCATTTTTTCCAATTATTAAAAACCATAGTAATTAATTGAATTAATTTCGTTTCTTTATAAGTAATGAATTATTTATTTAAATAATAAATAAAAATGAATGAACGAAAATATTTTTATGTGGAAATACGGAATATAATACAAAGAGAACTTTAAGATTCTTAGCGAACTTTTCTTGGTCTTAAGAAGCAATTTTATTCCAGTAGAATGCAGTACAACAATAAGTACTCCTAAATGACAAAAGCTGTCTAAATAGCTGTCGGCGAATTTTCTTTGCTGGAAATTACGACTAAGCCATAAAAACATAGATTTTTAAAGATTTTGTTTATCAAATATAAAATTTTTCTCGTGGAATTATGAAAGAGAATACGAAGAATTTTTGCAAAAATAATGATTTATCACTTAGTCATTAAACATTCTTTGCTAATGCATTAATTTATGAATTCAGTAGCTGAAAAACTTTGAATTATCTTTCTTTTTTTCCTTTATTACTTGGTTGGAAGCCTTCTCTAAATCAAATTACCTTTGCTTTTTTACTTTATTTATTATTTTATTTTCATGCGTTCATAGAATTTTTTTTTGATTTTACTTACTTAAGGTAAATTTCAGTGAAACTGTTATTTCTTTTTATTTCTTAGAAATGCAGGACGGGTTAACAAATATAGTTTATAATCAGGTAAGGAACTCAAAAATGCAGATACAGTAAAATACAGTAAAACTAATTTAGCATCAATCGCATTTACACTCTCCCTTTACTCTCTTCAGTTCTTTGATTTTATTAAACATTATCTTAAGAATTCGGCTTTCGATTTGATTTAAGTGGTTGGATTTATGAAGAAAAATTGTAGTATATGTAATATTATATCCAGTTTACTTAATTCGATATAATTCAGCCATAAATTAGTCAAAAAATACTATTTCTTCTAAGCCATATGGTCGGCAAAAACTTTAATGACTTTGCATTGTGTTGTGTTAAATTGCATTACTAAGTATTTACCAACAAATTCAAAAGTGAAAAAAAGAAAAAAACTGATGGCAAAAAAGTGTTGGAAATGAATTTTCGTTTTTATTTTTTTATTTCTGACAGATAATTTCTGGTAACCAATGTTAAAGATTAAATTTATAAATTTTTCTTATTCTTCTTCTAGAAACACTCCCATTTCCAGTTTGCTTCCACTGAGTATTCGAACAAAGCCTTTTACGAAAATGGAAATGAAACACAAAGTGGGTCACCAACACTACTACAAAATTCAGAAAATCGCCTATCATATAATATTGTTTCAAAAATTTTTAAGAATTTTGAAAATTAACAAAAATAGAAATATAATCTTAAAAAATATCCAAAATCAATTAAAAATCGATCAGATAATCATTAATTTATGAAAAAATCAATTTGTTTAAATCAAAAATTTTTGCCATTCAGATTCTCCCAGCAGCTCATCTTTTGGTGCCATTCTGCTATTGTACTCCTCAATGCTTCGAGTTTCGTAAGGAAGAACAAGTAATTTTGACATCCATTAGGCCTTATAAACATAAACAGATAAATATAAACTGTGTAGAAAAGTCCCAGAAGTTACTCAACACATGGTGGCAGGAAATGAAAACAGGAACAACATACAGTGAAAGGCATAAACAAGTCGCTGGTGTATTGTCTACAGGAATATCTGTTTGGCTCGACCTAATCCACCCATCTCCCCCCAATACTAAATAGAAGATTCCTTAGAAAATAGTAGAGAATAATAAAGCAAAGACCCTGTGGGATTTTTCCAAATATTCAAACAATAAATCCGATATTGTCGTGGTAAATAATAATTAAAATTCAGAACTACTGATTATCAATACCAAGTGACAGGAATAACCTGGGGCTGAAATAGGAAAAATAATTTCAGTGATAATAGAGGCACTAAAGATTAACTAGGGGCTGGGCTAACTTTTCAACTTTAGTAGATGTGGCTTCGAAAATGGCTTCAGCAGATCCAGATCCAATGGGAACAATATCTGCCAAGAAGAATGTATTGCTATGAAGATATTGCGCAGATCTCTCGCAGCCCTCTGAAAGAAAACCCAGGGTTAAAGGTGAACCTTATCACAGGTGGTGAGAAATTTTTCTGCTGAGCATAATTAGAATTGGTGAGCAGTGATAGAAAAAAAATGGAGACCAATATAATAACAAGTATTTTTTAGATATTTCTTTGTAAAACTTGAACTTTTTGATAAAAATAATTGGATGATCAGAAGTATTTTTTTCAAAATATAATAAAATATAATATTTATTTCGTTGAAATTTTTATTTATAGTATTTATTTAAGTGAAATTTAAAATTCCTTCTTTAAAATTGATAATTTTCATAAAATTTCGAGAAATTTATGGATTTACGTAAGAATTATATAAAGGAATTTCAAAGGTTGTTTTTTTTTTCTATTTTATTTTTAAATGCTTTTTAAACTTTAATGATTAAATGAATTAAGTGAATAGAAGTGAACAGAAAATATAGGAAAATATTTTTTTCGAACAAAGTTTTAATTTTCGATTATTGGAATAATATTTTCTTTTAATACTTTCAATGTCTTGAATCGCCAGGAATCCGGATTGATAAATTAAGACAAATATGCATAAAAAAGGTAATATTGTATTGATATCAATTTTAAGATTGAGATAATTTGAGGATCAATACTATTATTATCAATTATTTTTATTGCCATTATTATTATTTTTATTACTATTTATCATTTAACAATTTATTGCCATTATTATTATTACTGTTATCGTTATTATAATTATTATAGCTATTACTATTATTATTATTTTTATTATTATCATTATCATCAGAACGAATTTAATAGTGATTCAGTCGTATTGATTTGAAATAAACCATTGTTAAACTTTTATTTTAAACTCTAACAATCAAATAAAATTGTCTGAAAATCGATTTAAAAATTTTTTAAATTCGTAAATATAAGACGACTGACCATTAATTTAATGTCAATCAATTTATATCAATCAAAACCAGAGAATATATTTGCTAAAGTGATGGAGCTATTACTACAGTAATGTTTATAATAAATTTATTGATAAAAATTTGATGACAATTCCAGTTTATTATCAAAGCAATATCTCTTATCATCTTATCGTTACTTCACTATGTTGCCGATTGCTTGTAAAACATTCAATCCCTTCATTTATTTTTGGAACTATTCTCGATTGTGGAGATGAAATTATAAAGATTACTATCTCATGAAATGGCCCAAATTTCCGTTATGAAGAGCTACATGCTAAAATTTCGTATAGGTATTCCCGTGCACATTTGGTGAGGTCAGACGTAGCTAAAATGAATTGGCAAATAAGAAAGGGTTCCAGTTTTAAAAAACTTTCTGACATTTTGTGTGATTCACTACATTTATCAATCAACAAATGCTGTAGTCACTATTACCACATAAAAATTTATTAGTTATTTTAATTTATAAAAATTTATTAAAAAATTACTTAAAAAAAATCTAGTTTTTTTGTTTTATTAAACTTCCATCCTCATAAATAAAATTAAAGAGCGAATTTGATTGAAGTTTTTGTCAAAAAAAATAGAGAATTCTTGGAAAGAACGGAATTTAAGTAAGCGAAATATTGTTAAACCAGTACATTCACCAGTACAAACCAGTACCAGTAAGATTTTTTTTTTCTTAACAGCATGTCTGGTTTGGTTCTCACCACTGGCTATTAGGATCACACTAGATCTGCACTATCCAGATTTGATAGAATTACTCCTTCGAAGGAATAGGAATCGAACCTATAACCACTTGGTCTTAGTCGAAACCAGTCAACATCTACTACTTAACCCTCAGCGTATTTAAGATCCACTTAAATATGAGATTGAATTCGAATTTACTGATTATACATCGACTGATTTTACTTTTGGCTTAATTTTAAAAGTATTTATTCAACTAAGCACAAAACAGGTGCATTAGCATTAACGTCGCAGTAAATTCAGAACACCCTTTAACTCTTTCAATAAATTGAGATGTAGTGAAATTATAGAAAAATAACTACAAAAGTGCGAAAAGTTATGGCAATATCCTGAAAAGCCCCTCATAAAAAAATGTCATCCTTTTGTTATAGAACTGTTAGTCCTGCAAGCATTTAAAGGTGGTTTTTTGTCATCTTTGGTTTAATTCAACTCGAAAATATATAAAAATTCAAGTTAATTAATCTTTTTCTAACTTACCATTTTTGGCTTGGTCGACGCTGCTTATTACTAAAATGGAATAAATGGAATTAGAAATTGTATGTGAAAGATAAATATATGTGGATACTATATAAAAGTTTTTTGGCTAAACCATCATAATTTATTACTAAAAATAAAACAAGTGGGGTAGAATGGCTCAGTGAATTGTTGCTTTATTCGGAGCGCCGATCTTCAGGTTCTATTTCCCGCAGGAGTAGATTTATCCATAAATCCGGGTAATACGGACGATTCACCTGTACTTCTATCGCCAAGAAATCCCCTGGCATATTTGCATTTGCCCAGCGCGACAAGCCA